TTCATGGCGAAAAACAGAAAGAAACCAATCTGATTAAATCACAAAAGCTACAATTTTATCGCTACTGTATAATTTGATACTCTCATTAGCCTTTTCTCCCCCATCAAATTGAAAAGCCAAACCGAATATCAATTGAAATTATACATGGCTTACACTTAGCATAGAATATCCAACTTCAGAGGAAGAAGAAGGTTATTGATGAACAGCAAGAGGGAAAAGCCATGCTTTTCATTCTTATTTTTGAAGCGTGACTTGTAGCCAAAGTCTAAGATGCTAGCAATATTCTGATATTTTACATATCAAACACTAAGAAAGATGAAGTTAAAGAAACTAAAAAGAGCAGAAATCACATGCTGTTTTTGCTTTTACTCTCAATAAAATCAGCAAGGCTTCCACCTCAAACTTCTATAATTTTTTCCTCCTCGGAGTTCATATACAAAATCAAGTTGAGGGAAGATCTTCCAGAGAATGTAGTCCGCATAATTGATGTATTGTTGCCTCCATTGCCTCCAAAAAAAAAGGGGAAAGATCACAATTCCAAAGCCAAAAATTAATCCCAATTCAACACTCAAAAAATTCCAATCAATGGAACCTTTAGAACTAATAGATTCAGAAGTCTCAGATGATGGCGAAGACAATCCAGGAGCTACGCCAAAACTACAAGTCTGTGTCAACGGAGGTCCACATAGTCCTTCATTGCCTTCAAATGAATCTGCGCCAAATGACTGTATTTGAGTGCCAGTTGGGATGGGCCCTATCAAATGATTGAAGGAAAGGTTTAGAACTGCAAGAAACGATAGACTCGCGAGCTCTGTTGGAATCTTCCCCTTGAAAGAGTTCACTGATAAGTCCAATGACTCAAGATTGTTCAAATCCCCTACAGATGAAGGGATATGGCTTGAAAAATCATTTTCTGACAAGTTAAGAGCATGGAGTGCCTTGAAACCCATAAGTTCTTTTGGAATTGACCCTTCAAAATGGTTAGATGAGAAATCCAAGGAAGTGAAAGCAATGAGAATCTTAACCAACTTCACTTGTCTCCCTTTGTTAACAATTGTTACTGAATCTTGGTAACTTCTGATTTCAAAAAGCTCGGTGTAATAATCATAGAACAAGTGGTTGATCACAGTAGGTGGCATTCCTATATTTAAAATTTTAGCTAGTTTTAGTGCAAGGTCTTTGTTTGCTATGGGGGTCCACGCACCTTTGATGTCCATGGGATTGACATTATCAAAGATGTCAAAAACCAAATGGCCAAATTTTGAGCTTGCTTCGTCCTCAAGCATCAAAGCTTTCAAACTTTGCAGGAATGACCCTGGTAATTTACCACCAAAATTATTGGAGGCAAGATCAACGATTTGAAGTGTTTCCCAATTTCCAATGCTATGTGGGCAATCAAGAGGGCCATGGAAGTTGTTTGACCTTAGAATCATGACTTTTAGAGTGGATACTTTATTTAAGAAGCAAGGAAACCTATCAGTTAATTGGTTGTTTCCCAGGTTTAAGACTTGTAGTTTTTGACAATTGGCCAATGATTTTGGGATAAAACCTTCAAAAAAATTTTCATTGAGATCAAGGAACCGCAAAGAGCAAGAATTTGAAAATGTAACCAAAATTTGGCCTTTGAAATTGTTCCTTGCAAGATTTAGTACTCTTAAAGTGCTACTTATTCTTGTCAAACACTCAGGAATAGTGCCGTTCAAACCATTATTGGAAAGATCAAGAATTCTAAGAGTTGAGATATTACATAAGGATTCATGAATTTGGCCATGCAGACTATTGTTTGAAAGGGAGAGGAAATATAGAAAAGGAAGCTGATTACCAATGTCAAATGGGGCAATGTGGCTGAATCTGTTACTTGACAAATCCAGATAGATCACACTTCCTGATAAAATGGGAGTGGGGCCTGAAAGTTGGTTGGAATGAAGGTCAATGAGAAATAGATTGGAACTGATATTCTGGAGTGGTCCTTCCAAATCTGTCAAAAGATTGTTTGAAAGATTTAGGAAATCCATGAATTCAAACCTCCAAATCCAGTTGGGGATTACTCCTTGAATATGGTTGCTGGATAGGTCTAGGCCACGTAAATTGGATTGATTCCTCAGAAAGATAGGAAAATCTTTCAACTTGCAGGAAGCTAATTTAAGTTGGATCAATTTTGGAAATGATGACAAATCATCATTATCCCTCAAAGTTGCATCAACTAACAGGTTGTTGTGACTAAGATCTAATATTTCCAAATTCTCCATCCTCTTTATTGTAACCAAGCGCAGGGTGCCATTGAACTTGTTTAAGGAAAGTTGGAGAACTCTAAGCCTTCTAAGACGGAAGATGGACAAGGGAATAGGCCCTTGTAAATTATTTCCATTAGCATCAAGGAACTCTAATGAGGATACTGATCTAGTGGGAAATTCATCCAATACACCCTCAAATCTATTATGAGAAAGCATAAGTTCTTGTAGAGATGGAAGTGAAAAAAGAGATGATGGAACTCTCCCATAGAAGGAATTTCCAACTAAATCAATGCTAATGAGATTGTCAAGGCTGTTAAAATGAGATGATGGAATTTCACCTGTCATGTGATTAATTGAAACAGATAGAAATCTGAGGATCTTGGACATATTGAAGTATGGAAGGGGACCAGTGAAGTTGTTGAATGACAAGTCCAGATGCACAAGTTGGGTGAGTTCTGACATCGACTTTGGAAGCATTCCATTGAATTGGCAGCTTGATAGATCCAAGGTAGATAACTCCCTCAATTTGTGAATACAATCTGGCAATTTCCCCGAGAAACTCGTATGGCTAAGGTTCAAGGTGTTGAAAGATCCATGATGTGAAAACTCTGGTAAAGAACCATGAAGATCTTGATTATTGGATACATCAATGACTTGTAAGTTTGGCAATTGGAAGATTCTTATGGGAAACACTCCACTCAAGTTGCAACTATTGAGTTGCAAGGTGGTTAAATTTGTCAAACTCGCAAAGGACTCTGGCAATAAGGAAGCCAAATTGTTTTGATTCAGTCTTAGTACTAGGAGGGACTGAAGCTTTGAAAGTGAGGAATCAATAGGCCCAGAGAGATTGCAAGACGACAAACTCAAAATTTGAAGATTTTTAAGTGAAGATAGAGCACGGCCCCATTCCTTTCCTTCAGCCAGTATCCTTATACCATCCATATACAACGTTGTGATTTTTGTAAGGTTCTGCAGAAGATTTGTTATATTTGGACTCTCGAGCTTTAGGGTATGAAGTGAGGTAGACAGATCAAGAGAAACCAACCTTGTTAACCGAGAGATCTCAATTGGAATATGCCCCTCAAAGCCAGCATTTGACAAATTTAGATATCTCAAGCTCTTTAGCTCGTGCAACTTTGAAGGAACCACGGAATGGAAGTCATTGTAAGCCAGGTTCAAATCTTGCAGATATGTTAGGTTGAAGAGACTGCTTGAGCTATCAAGCCCTCCAGAGATAGATTCTTCGCTCAGGTCAAGAGCTATAACACGTCCCTTGTTGCACGTTACTCCACTCCATTCACAACAACAGCAACTTTGGTTCCAACGAACTAATTTTTGGGACGTCGCAGGGCTGAAAGTGAGGCTATTCTTCAAATGAAGCAATGCTGATTGTTGATGGCCAAGGCAATGACCATTTGCCACAAAGATATTGATGCTAAAACCTATGAAGCAGGACAATACCAAGAAAACGGATGAGTCGATAGTTCTCATGGGATTCATGGTGACTCACACTTGTAACGGATGAGTTAAGGAAGGAAAAGATGGTTTTTCCGTTGATCAAGTCATCCTTTTATAGATTCTAAATAACTGAGTTTATTGCGTGTCCCTTGGTATACTGCAATAAACAGTTGGGATTTGTTTCCTCCACAAGGAAGAAAAATTGTAAAGAGGGTTTTCGAGAAGACCTGACCTTGGAAGAGGAGGATGATTAGTCCATGAGTGAAGAACACTATTGAAAACGCTTATATTTGAACTTGGTATAAGTAGAAGCGTTGCCGGTCTTCATGAGCAAAGTCGGAGTCAGTGACACCTGTTTTAGCTAGTCACCGACTGAAATTGGAAATTATAAGACATATAAACCATTGTTTTTACTTGTCATCTGGCTGTCCCATTCACAGAAGAAAATCGAATGAATTAGAATTCACTGTCGACCCCTTTTCTTTCCTTATCTAAAGAAAATTTTCACGAAGAGCTATGAAATGTTCAAAATTTTTGGGACCTAAAACACGGCATATTTTCTTGATATGCAAAGCAACTATTAAAAAAATAGCAACTTATTCATTTTGAACAGAAATCATTAAGCAGCTTTTTAGTTATTATCATTAAATTGTAAAATGTCTAATAAAAACAGATTCTCGCAACTTTGCACTGTATTAGTGGTGTTCGCTAATTTTTTTTAATTAAACGATACTATATTTTTATTAGAGAATATTAAGAGTTTTGGACTTTTCCAGCGCTGATTAAATCAATGTACTATTAATTTATTTGGCCATGATCCATATCAAAAGCATTGCCGCATAAGAAGAGAATAAGAACGCTGGTGGGAAAAAACCAGAGCCCACAAGGAAGACCGACATGCCGGTCTTGATGAGCAGAGTTGAAACTCGAACACAGCTAAAATATCACACCAACCTTTGAGATGTTCCCAAACACTTGTCATCTTTGAAACATAGAAAAAGTTCTCACAAAAATTATAGTATGTTTTCTCTCTCTATTTTTTTTCCTTTAAAAACAACTTATACTAGTATTAATTTGTGACCTCTTACATAAGACTTGAGAAAACTTTCCTTCTTTGCTTTGTTCCAATAGAGTCTACTTTACCTACTTGACGAAAGGGAACGAACTTTGTTTCGTTTCCGGGTTTATGGCAGTCAGCGTCACGACATAATCAAAAGGAAGGAGTGAGGCTTTGGTTACTGGCAAACGTTTCCAAAGGCGAGCCTCGAGTTTTCGGCTCTTTCCTAGATTGGAGTAGCCTGACTGATAATCAGGAAGATAAAAGTACCTTTAAATATAGGACTCAGTCTTACATACCTCACTTTCTTTATTCCATAAGGAGGAAAAACATCAAATTTTCATTGGAGAATAATAAGAGAGATATTCATTTTACGACGGCACGTCACGAAAATCATTTAAATGAGAGACTTATAGTGACAATATGCGCAGCATCTCTTCTCATCAGTTCGTTACTTCACGCTGGGGGTTAGTGAGACTGCCACCGTAGAGTTCTGTAATGCTTCCCTCCACGGCATTCGTACACAAAATTCAGCTGCGGGAAGACCCTATAAAGCAAGTCATCCACGTGTTCCCAGTACCATATTCTCCATGACTTCCAGAAAAGCAGAGGCAAAAGGACAATTCCAATCCCAAAAACAAATCCCACTTCACCGCTTATAAAATTCCAATCAATTGAGCTCTCAGAGTGGGACGATCGTGACATCCCGGGTATTTCATTGGTGCTACAATTCGGTGTCAAAGGAGGTCCGCATAGCCCGTCATTGCCTATGAAAGAAGATGCCTCAAATGATTGGATCTGAGTACCAGATGGAATTCTTCCCACTAGATGATTATATGAGAGTTCCAAGGATGAAAGAAAATTCAAATCTGCCATCTGTGCTGGTATTTTCCCTGTCAATGAGTTATTTGACAGGTCCAAAGACTCAAGCTTCCTCAAATTCCCAATAGATGATGGTATCAGGCCGGTGAGAGCATTATTTGACAAGTTGAGAGTATATAGTGCTTTAAAATTCATCAATTCTTCTGGTATTGGCCCTTCAAGAAAGTTGGATGAGAAGTCAATAGCAGTGACGAAGGTTAAAATTTTAACCCACAGCACCTGTTGACCCTTACTACTAATGCTCACTCTATCCTGGTAATAAACATTACCAGTTTCAAGGATCTCATACTGAAGGGTTTGTGCTCCAATGGGCATCATTCCTTGCCAAGTTGTGAAGGATTTTAATGCTAGTTTACCACTGAAATTGTTGAAGCTAGATCGGCAATGTGAAGCATCTGCCGATATCACTGGTGTTGGAGCATCCAATGGAGCCATGGAATTTGTTTTGTCGCAACACCAGGACACGTAGCATGGATATTTTCTTCAATGAGCATGGAAAGCCATCAATAATGCGGTTGTTTCCAAGGTCCAGTACCTCCAGCGTCATGCAATTAGCAAGAGACTTTGGTATTGGTCCATCTAATTGATTTCCATTAAGATCTAGAGTCCTTAGAGCACACAACGCTGGAAACTGATCAGGTATTTTCCCCGTGAGATTGTTCTTCCGCAGGGTTAGTATGGGTCTCACTCATTTTCATTAAACATGAAGGAATTGTACCAGAAAAGTTATTGTGGGAAAGCTCAAGAACCCGAAGACTTGAAAAATTGCAGAAGAATGGAGGAATGGTGCCTCGAAAAGAATTATTTGATAGAGATAGGAAAATTGTGAAAGCCGTGTAATCACTTGGATAAGCTGGGATGTCGAAAGAGCTGAACTTATTCATTGAGTAGTCCAAATAGGCAGCACGCCTAGGTAAAAAGGGAATTTGCCCTCGGATATGGTTGTCATGAAGGTCAAGGAGATTCAAACTGGAACTCAAATTCTGGAACGGTCTTTCAAAATCAGTCAGCAAATTATGAGAAAGATTAAGGTAAGAGAGACTTTCAAGTTTCCAAATCCAGCTGGGTATTGGACCTCGGATTTGATTATCTGAAAGATCCAGATCAGTTAATTTGGACTGGTATCTTAAGAAACCAGGGAAAGTCTCCAACTTGCAACCAGCCAATTTTAGAGTGGTCATGTTGAGAACTGAAGACAGGCGAGAATCTGATTTATTCACCTTGATTGACAAGTTGTTATATGAAAGATCTAACGAAGTTAAATTTCTGAGCTCCACAAGCATATCTAGCAGGATTAGCCCATTGAACTTGTTTGACGAAAGTCGGAGAATACCAAGTTCTCTGAGTTGGAAGATAGATCTTGGAATAGGACCTGATAAATTATTGCTGCTCAAATCGAGGGTGTTTAATACGGAGGAAGGCGTAGTTGAGAACTCATGCAGTTGACTGAACTGATTATCGGAAAGCTTAATGCTCTGCAGGGATGAAAGCATAAAAAGAGAGGAAGGAATGATGCCACTGATGGAATTATTACGCAGGTTAATGGTGACTAGATTTTGTAGTCCCTTAAATCGACCAGGTGATGAAATTTGGCCACTTAACACATTATCAGAAAGGTCCATGTACGTCAGTTTATTGGCCGTACTAAACGATGGAATTGGACCGCTGAAGTTGTTCATTGACAAGTCCAGATAAGCGAGTTCAGTAAGCCCTGAGATTGAATTGGGAAGTTGTCCTGAAAAGTGAGAAATTGAAAGATCTAATTTGGATAAGTTTTTCAAGTTACTGATTGAATCTGGTAGCCCTCCGGAAAAATTTGTGCCTCTCACTACGAGGGTTTGGAGAGATCCATTCAACGGGAAATTCTGGAATGACCCACTGAGAGCAGTATTATAAGATATGTCAATGAAGGTCAATGTCTTCACCCGAAAGATATTTTGTGGGAAACTTCCACTCAACCCGCAAGAGCTAAGATGCAATCTGGTCAGATTTGTAAAATTACCAAAGAATTCTGGTACTGTGGCTGACAAATTGTTCTGGTCAAGACGAATTACCGAGAGGAGGTTCAGTCTAGATAGGGAAGAATCAATAGGACCTGAAAGATTGCATTGTACCATGCTCAATTCTTGCAGACCGGGGAGTGATGAGAGAGCGGTGCCCCATTCTTGTCCCTGAGCTGATATACACCATCTAGACACAACCGCCTAATGCTGGTAAGGTTCTGAATAAGCATTCCCAAATTTGGATTCTCAAGTTTCAGCTCTTGCCCTGTTAAATATGAAAGAGACGATATATCCAGAGTAACTAACCTGGTCAGTTGAGAGATTCCATTTGGTATTGGCCCCATGAAGCCAGCATATGACAGATTCAGGTGAGTTAAGTTCTTTAATTTGAAGAACTCAGTCGGAATCACAGAACAGAAATTGTTGGAAGCCAAACTTAAAATCTGTAGATACTGGAGACTGAAAATACTGCTTGAACCGTCAAAACCACCAGAGATTGACTCGTCACTCAAATCAAGACCAGTAACATGTCCTTGCTCATCGCAGGTAACGCCACTCCAATCACAGCAAGACGAGCTTTGATCCCAAGACACCAGTTTGATGGAATCTGATTCGCTAAAATCGAGGCTGTTCTTCAATCGGAGGAGCAGTGATTTCTGGTCCTCAAGACACTGACTTGATACCACATAGGTGTTGAGACTCAGTAACATGCAGAAGCAGCAGGCTATGAAGGAAGGCCATGAAACTGAACGAATTGCCATCGATTTCTGAAGTTGAAGACGCATGGAAGTTCAACTAAAGACTATTGATATTGTAGAGCAACTATAAAACAAAATGGCCGAGACATATAAAGTGAATTCTGAGCCATGAAAATAGCTTTTGCTGTGGTAATGTCGCAATGATCAAGTATTAAATGCAAGGTCCCTGTTTGATGAGAAAGTTTCCTAATCTCTCTGTGAGTCAAGCAACTGTGTCATCCCACCTTCTGTGAATTTTCCATTGATACATTGCCGTGTTTTATCGTATTCATCATTTTCCAAACCAACGAAAGTTCGTATCACCGACACTTGGATTGTCATTCTCTCGTTAAGAAATAAATTTAGGTAAATTGACTGGGAAATGCTAACTAATGCATGCTTGTTGACATTGATTTAAATTAAGGGAAAACTGTGCGCGCGCGCGCGCGCTGTCGTGACATTCTAAATCAACTAATAATGAATCTTTCAGAATAACTTCTATTTGTGACATAAATCCACGTGTTGGCATTTCACTGGCACATCAATCGCAGTCCTCGAGTGGGACATGGAGTAGACATAGAAAAATAAAAGATTAGACAAATTCAATGATTTCAATTTGGAAAGCGAGAACAGATAAATGAGTCAAAGAGACACAAGTCTTTGAAAAAAGGGATATAGGTCATAAATGAGTGTGGAAAAACACTCAAGCACGAGAGTAGTCCATATTTGAAATTTCAAGGCTCAGTCCTTGTCATTCTATGAATGCAGCTGTATCGACTTGAACACAAAGTCCCTCTCCCACGGCTCATTCTACCCCAGCAACAACACGGGGCTGTTGGAATTTGCACGCCAAAGATTTTAAACAACCTATCCGATCTTAAATAGAAGAGCCTATTGAAAATTTTGGTTTCATCATTTCTATAAAATTTCATGCCTACCACAATAATTTTTTTTTCTTTTTCTTAAGTATCCTTATTTAATGCATCATTTTTTCCAAGTTAAACGATTAAAAATCCATAAGTGCTTAGTAGAACGTCTGAGCATGGACAAGAGGTGTTGTGGGAATTCTAGAAAAACCTACAGCTTTGCTTTTATTTTTCTTGTCCTTAAATAGGTCAATGCCCTCTTCTTGGGGGCATTAAATTGGTGTAGTAATCAATTGCGAAAAAATAACTTAATGCATTGTTCCTTTTGAGTAATTCTCCTACTCCCTTTGGAAGTCAAGTAACTGTTGTGTCTCACCTTCCTTTAAATTTCCACTGACCACTCTCGATTGATATCATATAATTCATTCTCATCGTATTTATCATTTTCCAAGCGATGTAAATTCGTTTCGCTTGAAAATGACTTGCAAATTCTAGCTATTGCATGCTCGATAGGATTAGCTAAATTGCGCATAGATAAACGCATAACGTATTACTAAAGTCTGGGGGGATTTTAAATTTATTAATAAACTAATCGTAATAGTAATTCTCATGTTGGGCCTAGTATCTTTTATCAGCGAATAATACTCTGATGGCTAAAAGATAATTTCAAAAAGCTTTCAGAACAAGTCCTATTTATCGCAAGTTCATGTGTTGACATTTCCAGGAACATCAGATTACAGTCATCACTTGGAACTCAGAGTAATAAAATTGCACAAATTTTCGCAACAAGCTTTGCCAACATTACAATAAAGCCAAACGGAGGCTCCATGTATTGAAATTCAAGGTCCAACGAACAAATCGAATGGAAGATTTTTGTACGTGCGTGAAAAGTCGTTCCCTCCTGCCACAGCACATTGTTTCCGAGGAATACATTTTTAAACTACTTTTATTTTAGAACCATCTTTGGTAACAAGATCCCTTTTTTAAAGTTAAGGATTGATGTGTGAGATGACAGGAATTTGCACAGACATTCATATAGTCAATTTTCCTTCTCTTCTAAGCTATAACCCCAGAAAAAAGGGCCCCCCAAAAAAAAAAAAAGGAGCCAGTGTCCTGTCAGCAGGTATATACAAAAACTCGGGAAATGTTATGAACTGATGTTAACTTCATCTTGTGCACGAATCAAACGACCGTTTTGAAAAAACCAAGAAGGAAAGGAAGCTTGGCAATTGCTAATATGAGATTTCAACCTGGGAATGTTAGGGTGTGCACTTCTACATCTATGACACCTCAACTCCATGGACAGCAACTTGTCATCATCTCTCAAGGTTGCTTTCCCATGATTAGAGACCTCATCAATTACATCTACTGAGTCACGAAAGAAATCAGTGTTGAACGAGTTCCAGTGCTTCTTGTTCTTCAAATGTTTTGAGTCAAAGTCCTGGCTAATAACATGTAAATGAAGTTGTCGCATTGATGGAGCCTGCAAAAGAGGAATTGTCCTGAATGTTTAGCATATATGAATATGCTCTACAAACAAAATTGAGTTCCTCATGCCGCGCAAAGGCTTGGCCACCATGCACCTAGAATCTTGAACGAAACATTACAAACATATTCATCATAGACGCGCTTTTATAAAGCAACAGAACTGTTTTCCTTTTTCTTTGAATAAGATACCAAGATCACATTTGCAGAGAACCAAAGATAAGCCATATACACCAATTCAATCCCATAATACATCTAAAGGCAACAACACTTTTAATAATAACAACAATAACTGAATTTCCTTCTGAACAATAAAATGTAATCAACTAGATCATTTTCTAAATTATTGCTTTAACAATATGCTGAACCATCCCAACCATATCTTACTTTGAGTCCAAGGAAGAAAGGTTTTAGGTATGTGTGGCTTGGCTTTGCATTGAAACTTGAAAAGCATGCATGTCATCCACCCACATTCTACTTTCATGGTTTGAAAAAACAATCAGTTCAACCCTTAAACTAAATAAAAGTAGGATAGTTATGGAGACTTTCGGAGAGTATGTGATGCCTAAGTTGCACATTTAATAGTATGAAACGCTCAAATGACATATTTAATTAGATTTATTCTCTCACCTCAACAATTAGCTTGTGGGGAGAGTTTCCAGTCCCAGTTGAATACCCATCAAATATTTATTTTCTTTTCTTGTTAAGAGAAAGAGAAGGGGAAGCAACCATTCATAAACAAACGCACTGCATACCGAGTGATATCCAAGACGAAAAACTAGTGAAGCATTCTCATGCAAGAACTTCTCGGCCCACTTTAGACCCACAGAATGCATCCTCTTTAGCAAGTGAAGATGGTCATTTTGAACATCAGCCAGGCAATCGAGGCCTCTAGTTCTTGCCAACACCAAAACATGCTTCTGTGCCTGCAAAACACAAGGAAATTCTGATTGTTACCACTGCAAAGACAAGCATGAAATGAAATAAGCGCTGGGTAGGGAAAAGGGTAAGGTCAACCTTAGGATACAGGTCATTCAGCACAACTACATCTTCGGATATTTCAAGCAATTCATTCTTATGCTCCTCAGGACGCATAGCTATTTGATGAAGAGCTTGAGCCCATGATCCCCATGTCTTATTCAAGCTGCCATCATTTTTTTTATTACTTGGATCTATGTTCACAACCTTGGTACCAGCTCCGTTCCCTTCAACATCATCCTGACTTCCCTTGTATTTCTTGCTTTTTTCAAATCCATGATCAGCATCTCTCTTGCTCTTTTGCTCTGTCCCAGTCCTCAGGATTGATGCAAAAGCTTCAAATAGTGAAGTGTAAGCCTCCCTTAGAATCTTGCAGCCTTTATTGTAGTCATTATTGAGACAATCTGGCCTTTGTGGATTCATATTTGGCCCAAGAACATGTATTACATGGGTTACTCCCTCCCTAGTAAACAAAGGAGAAGATGATGGTAGAGGGACAGCAACAGCATGCCCAGGCAAGAGCAATTGTGCTCGTTCTTTGGTTGCAGACACCAAGATAGGACCAGCAGCCTTGAAAATTGCAGCATTGACCCCTCCACCTCCAGGTTTCAATCGCCTGCAATTAAAATTGACAGGTTTAGATGACTTGTGAATGCCCCTAATGCGCTAGGTGACACAAATGCTACAATGACCGGTGGGCTATGTGAAAATCTTCGTTAATCAGATTCTAATCAAACAGGAACCATGATGTCAAATGAGACAACTAGGAACAAATAAATAAAACCAAGGCAAATTAGCAACTGACATAGAAAAACAATAATTGAAGACAAATTGACATACAAATGTGACGTGGGAAGGATTATGGTGTCTTCTCAAATGTTCATGACTTTTCCTATTCGGCTGTATAGATTAATCACAAGTCCTAATTGCAATTAGATTGCTACATATAATGAAATTATAGAAAATTACCAGTTGGCAGCATTAGCTATCACAGCACAGTGCAAGCCTCCCGTGGACTTGAGGCAAGTAATATCCCCAACATGGGTAAAAAACTTTCTGGGGTCTAAGTTCTTTTGAGCAGCTTTGGCTTTAACTAATGACAGAATCTTTGAACCATGAGTCAAGTCAACTAAAACAAATCTAGCATTCGCAAGCTTATTTGAGAACTCTGCGACTTTCTCTACAATAATCTCAGCTGCCTTCTGATGGTCAAATTGGAAATCAGATGTTGAAATAGATGGAAATGCCAGAGTGGGAGGATCATCCATGAAAGCATGATCAACATTAGAAACAGAGGAACCAACTGAGATATTTTCTAAATTCACTGACTCTAAGTTGGCTTTATCTGAATTTGATGAAACTTTTTCCATATCTTTACGGCAGGGATCTATCATCTCATTATTTTGAGAAGTAAAATTTCCACCACTATTCCCTCTAGACTCAGCAACAATTGGAACCTCAGCCTTTTTAAAGAACTTCATTATATCCACTTGAACTTTGGAATCTTTACTTTTCTGTCCAAAACATCCATGTGGAAGCTTATCCAGTGGCCCAAGTGTGCTGTACGTGTTAATAGCCACTTTGACATCACTCTCAGTCTGACAAAATGTTATCCGGTTAAACCCTTCACTTAACGAAGGCAACTCTTTCTTTTGAAGCATTCTATTCACCACTGCAGCAGCTTTTCCACCCTGTAAATTTCCTTCATGCCCAGTTCGTTTGACAGATCGAGAAATACAAAGCTTTGCAGGAAGATCAAGCACAACAGCATGCACATCTATTTGGGGTCCACCAAGCTCTGTGAATCCTGAACGCTGTTCTCTATCAAGATTGCACCTGTCAATAAACACATTCTTTCCATCCTTCAATGCTCCAGCAGCACAGCTTAGACATTGAGCTTTATTTCCTGCTTTTCCATTTCCAATGACATCCTAAAGCAAGGGGAAAGACAGGACAGGATAAGCATTGTTACGGAATGTTCAAAAGCCATTGTTGATGTGCCACTTCTAGTAAAGGAGGGTTTTTATTTTCCTTTTTTGGGGTTGGGGAGAGTTGAGCAGAAGCTCCTTAACCATGAATAAGTTATGCAAAGCAAAAAAAAAAAAAAATCTTCCAATTTTTTCCCTAGATCAAGTTAATTACCCACTTTAATCTAATTTAGACATGAAAATCAATACCACGTAAAGCAAAGGAAGCTGAAAGAAGCGGACGTTATCACAAATGCTGCGAAAAAAAACTTTGATTAGCACAAAGAAATTTCCCATTCGTAACTTTTCAAGTAATAACAGTGCAACCCCAAAACGACCGACTAAAAGAAATAAAAGTAACAATTGAAGACATCTAATTACTTTCCACGAAACGAGATTGAAATTCGTTTCTAAACAAGTGAATCCATGAATCTCCAGATAGCTCAATCCCTCAATCAAACAAGAATTGGCACTTAAAAGATATACAAAAATTGACTGGGCTATTTCAAATTTGAAAATGTGCACGGTATATGACAATCAAAAAGAACATATAAATGGCATAACGAGAGCCGTCATTCAAACTATCAACCCAAGCTAAAACAGTAATGCCACCCAGAACTGATGCTCAAGAAAATTTCAAAGACAAAAAGGTAAAACTCGGCTAAATACATTACGTTTCCTTCTTAGTTAGAACACGCCATCAAAGAAAACAAAATGTTGAATGCTGAAATCAAACCTCAAAAAGAGATTTTAAAATATATTAGTGGGGAGAAGCAACTCAACCTGGCAAACACGAACCCAAGGACGAGTAGAAGAACGCATAACTTCTTCGCAGAAAGTGGACTTGCCGCTTCCTGGTGCTCCCACTAACATGACCAATAAGAGCTTTTCCTCTGTCACAAGTTGCAAGATCAAAATACACCATTACATTCTTCATTGACGAGAGGGTTTAGTTTTTCGATTCATCGACAAATTAGAAAACGTAGATGATAACATATGGTTCGATTTCTGATACCATACCTTTGGGTTTAGAAGTTTCGTCGACGTCCATCTTCAAGTTCCCGTCTTTCTTTCGGCCAAAGAAGATGTTGGAGCTTTCCTTGCATATGGAAAGTGAGCCTGAAAGCCGAAAATACAGATGCTGAGTCGTATTTTTCACATTGTCTCGTAAAAAATTTTAAATTTTTAAAAAATAAATATATAGAATTTATTGCATAAGCTATAACTTCTTTTTCGGCGAACACATAAGCTATAACTCTAGCAATTAATCCAGACCTAGCATAACTTCTGAAAAACTATTGATGTTACCAAGAAAAGTATTTTTAAATTTAAATGCATATTTTCTTAACTAAAATAACCTCAAACGAGTAATCACGATCACAATAATAATATAAATTCGAAAATATATATTTATTTTGAATATTGGGAAAGTCCTGAATATATTAATATTCATATATCATATATGTTATCCTTCATACAGAAGTTTTTGAAACGCGACTGCTTAAAAGTATAAAAATATTATATACAGGAAGAATTACATTTTTTTTCTCAGCACAGGAAGAGTTACACTGAACTATATAGTTTTGCGCAATTATATATGAATGGGTGCCCATATTGATTGCTGGTTTAAAAAAAACAAAAGAAAATAAGCACGCACATACCTAATCAATGCCCAGAGTATTGATTAGGTATATGTTTTGTTTCAAAACGTACCATTAATCTAGATGTTCCTATTATTTCATCTTATTGTTAGTTAGATTTTTGTAGCTTTTTTATCAGGTTAGTTTTAACTGTTATAGGTTGCTGCAAGTTTCTTTATCAATTCTTTATAAATTATACTCCTCCGGTCCTTAATATAAGACCTATTTAACTAATTTGATTAGATTAAGGAAGTTAGGTAAGTTAGTTAATTGTAATAAATATGACACGTTTTTCTTAAAACACCATAATCATCTTTCTCAATACCTCCTCTCCTTCTTCTACTTGATTATAATTGAGGGAGTATCTATAGGATAATTTAGAAATTATTGATAAATATGATAAATGGGTCTTATATTTAGGACAAAAAACAACTCAATAATTGAGTCCTATATTAAGGACCGGAGGAGTAATTAAAATTTCATCTAATTTTTAACCCGGTCCACAGGGTTTTAGACGATGGATAAATGAGATCATATCATATTGTCAGTCTAAGGAGGCAAAATACACTTGTCTAACACCATAAAAAGAACCAAATCTGAAAACTGTCCTTGTAAAAGAAGTATGCAGTCTTGATTTTCAAAGAAACACTCCTCTCAGCTTTTTTGCCTTAATCATGTTCTGTTTCGCAAGGCTTTCAGAATAAAGACAAGCCTTAAGAGCTAAGAGAGAAAATGGGTTGGGAGATTCCTTACAACTATTCTATTGAAGTCAGCTGCAGCTGTGGGACTTTACGTTGTCCTAAATAAATTGCCCATCATAAGAACTTGAGCATTATTTTAGATACCACAAATAAAAATGCTTTATTTTTTTGGGTCTAGGGTGGGCATCAAATTAGCCAAGCAAAAAAAACACAGAAAACAAATCGAACATTTTTATTACAAAATGCTATGAGCATTGATTACATCATAATATCACCACAACTGAACATTAAGTACAATCATCATGATTGCTACAATCAAACACTCCCCACGGAAAGAATGCAGTTAGCAAAGCTGATCAATCCATTTGGCAAGCCTCGCCTTTCTTACATGTCTTTTCCAACAATTCTTAGTACGAGAGAACATTAGTTTTTTTGTTTATGAAAAACAGACTCTCTGCATAAGGTCCTGCAAAAGCATGAAAATATTCTTGATCTCCCAAAGACTTCACCAAATCATCCACCGGATCCAGTAAAACTATAGCTCCACTACAAAGTCTCAGCACCACTTTTCCATTACCAGTAAGACCTAATACAGTCATTATGCCTCCATAGCGGTTTAAATCACGACGCAGCACCTCCGTCCATGACTCCACTATACCATATTCTTTCATCACCCAGATGCTAAAAAATTTCATGTTCTTTTTTGAATAAGTATGAAGCACAGCAAGCAAATGCCCTCCTTCCAAGATAGACAGGATCAAAGGAGATTCATTCAATTGTCTCGGTAACATCAATTCTCCAAACGTCTCTTGAACCACATCAAATGATAAAATAAAATTCTGAACTTGATCACCGTACTTACGACTAACAACCCAATGCAATGCACCATTTACAAACATTTGGGTTGTCCTCCTTAGATGAGCAGGAAGGAAAAACAGAGGAACTCTAACACTAATGCTTCTCCAAGAAGCAGAAGCAAGAGAGTATACCTCAACTTGAGGATTATCCCGTTCATTGTTTAGGGTCACAAGTCTAACTACTTTGTAATCCATGTTCATAGAATCAAAACCAAAACCATAAAGTACCCGATATTGCCGGTGTTCATGAATGTGGCCGCTGCGGGGTATGATTGGTCTACGAAGATTCACGTATTTTCGAAGGGAAGGGTTCCAAATGATGAGAGTAGTGAAATAAATGATCGAATGTTGAGCAAAACATACAAGCCCATTGCAAGTGCCAACCACAGTAGAATAACCGTACAATCGAAATCGAGGAGTGAATGAGAATCTATCAGAAGAAAAGCTGTTAGCTAGTTGATTATATGAGTAGAATGAGTAAAATTCCTGATAATCATTTGTGTGCGTGCTGGGCTGTCCGCTAGATGGACGATCAATTTGGAGGAGGAGGAAATTGTTACCGTTTCTGGGTTGGGCGGTACGGTTGAGGTGATCAGATATGAAGGAAGGATTTGTGATGAGGGAATTCCAAGTTTTGCAAACAGCCCTGAATCTTACCAGAGATTTTGGTGGTAGTCTCTGAAGAATTTCCACCATAATTTCTGGAGGCAAATCGCCAGCCATCGCTTCAGCTTGCAAATAACGCGATTGTCTTCTGCGCATATGAACACGTGTGTCCATTTCTCCAGAATTGCCTTAACCCTGCCTTTTGTCTAGGCGGTATTTTTTATGACCAAATTCATTGTTATTGACGTTGACGAAATATGCGATGATTGATCTCTAATTGATTGATATGATTTGATTATATTTTGGATTCTATTGCCTCTTCGATCATATCCACAAAATTCATTCCTGTGGGCTGATGATTTTTTTTTTGGGGGATTTTTTTAATTATTATTTGAAGGAGGGCCAATGTATGGGCGCCAGCGTAATAGTGTACTTTTTCCACTTCTTTGTCTGCTAAGCTTTTAAGGGGAAAAAGATATTTCTACGCCCATGCCCACAGCCCCCAAGAGCACAAACAATACCACTAACTAAAGCCAAGTTTATAATTTCAAGAATATTATTAAACGCTTTTTCAAATATATCTTCAGCAAGTGGGAAAACAAGTACAATAATTGTAACTTTTGGTTGGTTAAGGATTAAAAGATGATCTTCATTAGTTATTTGACAATAAAGGAAAAGGAAAATATGGAGTCTCTGGTATTTGCATAGTCCAATTATATTTCTTGACTCAATAGCGACATTGGATCTACTGAATACTGGTCTATCATGCTCCATTTATATCGTCGGACTCATGAGCTCCTTCCTGTACTCAAAAGAAGCATATTGGGACAATAGTAGTATGCCATAGTTGACTTGTCTCTCTGCTAAGAAATTACATCACGATCAAAATCAGAAAAGTTTTGTGAGAAGTAAGCAAGCTCCCAGAAGTACACATGAAAAAAATTGGTTTTTGGTTTCCTGATCACAAATGCAAGCCAATATTAACATTGAAATTTCTTGGCGATCGAGCAATGTCCATAAACGCAAAACAAATGTTTCAGAGAACTAGATAGGATTATGATTTTTGCAGTAACTCCATGAAGCATGATTTTGAGTATTCTTCGGCTGCTTGTTTTCAGGTATCACGTTGCCTCTAGTAAGGACAAATACCCTGTTCTTTGTTTATCAAAAACAAATATGCATAAGATCCAACAGAACTATTCTGGTTTTTCCCATTTTCCAAATCCGTCACAGAATTTTTCCTGGAATCAATTAAAACCATCCCTCCATCAGTTTCGCTCCAAAGGGCTGATACCCCTGATATATCCCCATAATGTCTCGAATCAAAACAATATATTTCATTCCATGGTTCCATAACAGCATATTTTTTCATCACCCAGATACTAAAAAAGGTCGTCTCAGACTTTGAATAACAAGTAGAGATAGCAAGTGAATCTAATGATCCTGCCAAAATAGTCACTGCGGAAGGTGTCTCCTTCAAACAAGGTCCTAGACTCAGTTCCCTAAATGTCTCTTTAGTCACATCAAATGATAAGATAAAATAGTCAGAATTGTTACTTGTACGCTTCATAACCCAGTGTATTGCGCCATTCCTAAACATCTGGGATGTTTCTTCATCAATGAGAACTCCACTAGTAATTATGTTTCTCCAAGAAAAAGAAGAGGAAGCAAGAGAGAAAACCTCAGCTCGAGGAACAATTATCTTATTGTCGTACCCAGATCCCATAATTTTAACTACCTTGAAGTCCTTGTTCTTAGAATCATAACCGAACCCCAAAAGACAGGGAGGCCTTATGTAATCGCTTGCACAGATTTCGGATGTAGGAAGAATGACATATCGTCGAATAGATGGGTTGCCAATAAGAACTTCAACACTACGATCTCGAAGTAAGTCAGCAAGACATATCAGACCACTGCAAGAGCCAACCAATGTACGATGTCTACTCAAACGAGTGCATAAATAAAGAGAGTGGGAATTTCAGAACTGAGAGATTATGATGCTTACTTTTCTGATGATGATTATCTGAGCTGTTCAGTGAGTAATACTTGTCGAGATGGAAGTCCTCGCCCCACTCAATATTATAACTCTCCTTCATTGGAGTACATAGCTTAATAAGAAGAGACCCCCCAGCACTGTCATTGGCTTGAAGGGTTCGTTTGAGATGGTAAGATGCCAAGTCATGATCAGTGATTAGAGATTTCCAGAATTTACAAACAGACATGCATGTTACTATTGATTTTATTGGCAGTCTCTGAAGAATGTTGTCCCAAACATCTCGAGGAAAATAGTCAGACATGCTTCAGCGAAAGAAAGAATACTCACAGTAAACTCGGGGGAGAAGATCATGAGGATTGAAACATGATTAGCCGTTCAAATATTCTGGGAGGTTCAAATAGGAAGAACATGAGGAGTTAATTTTAAAACAAAAAATAACACAGGAGACAGGACTGACCCAGAGATGTGGTAGAATTTTTAAATAAATAAATAAGCTTGCTTTGAATATCAATCCTGGGATCGAGAATCACATTTTATGGAGAAATAGTATGAATTTATTAAATATTATCTCATTCAATCGTCTTAGAGAATTAGAAGGGGGGAGATGATTTTCTGTTTATTAATATATATATTTGATATATGGATTTTTTTCATTTAAAAATTACCCATAAATTTTTATTTTAAAAACTTAAAGTGTACTTTTATTTTGAAATAACCATTTGAGAGTTACTATTAGCGGAATTATCCAGACAAGTAGGAGCCATGAATATCAGCTCAAATAATTGAGCTTCAGAGCAAGTAAATTATATTGATATGAAATAATAAATATCAGTTAATAAATTATGACGTGCGTGTATAATATATGCCTGTCCTTTTTCCGCAGCAATATTAATTGATAAAAAACGACCCATCTATTTTTTGTAACTGAATTACTTCATTACAGGGGGAAAAGCCAACAACATTATGTATAATTACCAGTGATTACGTTTTTTCTCCCTGTTAACCAGCAAATCACTAAAAGAGAACAGCCATATCCGCGTGGGATTTGAATATCCCCTCACATTTATTTTATTCAATTGCCAAATTTATCGATCTAGAATTTAATCTTTTGACTATTTTTCACTTAACAATTAAAAAGTTCCGTTTCTTTATTTTGATTCCTTAACAAAAAAAATACTCCTCCGGTCTTTAATATAAGACCCATTTAACTAATTTGATTAAATTAAGGAAGTTAGGTAAGTTAGTTAATTATAAGAAAAGTGACACATTTTTTCTAAAACATCATAATCATCTTTCTTAATACCCCATCTCCCTCTTCTATTTAATTATAGTTGAGGGAGTATCCATAGGGGTAATTTAGAGAAAATTGATAAATATGAGAAATGGGTTTTATATTTAGGACCAAAACCAACTCAACAATTGGGTCCTATATTAAGGACCGGAGGAGTATAAAGACAACAAATATTCCAACTCCTATGAACAGAATTTTGGATTTCCCAATGGATGTAGTGAGATTAAAATGTGATTCCATGTAGTAGGACACAATTAGACGACCTGTTTGGAATAACTTATAAATAGTTTTTCAGTCAGGATTTATGAAAGATGAGATAAATATGTGAGAAATGTTATCTTGACTTACGTGAAATGTGTTTATAAATGTTTTTGAACGCTATCCCAACAAGTCTAGGGTAAGTCAAACAAACATGTCCCAAAAAGCATTAAGCATTTGCACGAAGTACTAATATATGGCAGAGGTTGGAATCAGATTCTCTCCACTACCCTTCCCATCCTCTTCCCCTCCACTATCATCTTTTTCTCTTCACAACCATTGGATCAAAACTTCAATGGTCCAGATTTAGTATTTTATAACATTTTATGAAGATAAATATTATGATAAAAAATAGATAAATAAATTTAAACTGTTAAAATCTAATCTGAACAGTTCATAACTACAGACTGTTATTATAGAGCAAATTTTTTTTAAATTTTTTTTATTACAATTGTAAACTGTTCAAACCAGATTTTAACAGTTTAAATTTATTTATTTATTTTTTTAATAATATTATTTTTATAAGATGTTAAATCTGGACCATTGGAATTTTAATCCAATGGTTGTGAAGAGAAAAGAAGGGTAGTGGAGGGGAAGAGGATGGAAAGGAAGTGGAGAGAATCCAAGTCCGGCAGAGGTTAATGCGATTCTCCAGGTCACTCGCTAACATATTGAAGTCCATCATATATTTTTTTAACAGAAAAGTTATCATAAGGCTATACCAATGTACAAGGAATTTTCAGGTTTTAAGTTGAGAGGCACGACGTTGGCCCAAAAAGATAACAACAACAACAATAGACACTAACTAGGATAGAACTTGGAAGATATCTTAAAGGCTTCTGGGTCTGCAATGACCTGTACAGTTTTGGATATTGTTTCAGCATCTTTCATGTCTGTGTTGCAACCCCATACACGAGTAACAAGTCTCCGACAATTGGGCGATGACTGCTTAAAATACTTCTTGTACCACTCAACCACTTCTTTCTGGTTTATGCTTCTTAGTTCTTGTGCTTCCTTCCTTTTATCAACAATCTTATTACAAAGTTCATCCATGAGTGAGGGATCTTTTTCCAGCAGCTTTGCCATTAACCCACTTCGGTAATTCTCAAAGGAATCACCATCAAGCCCTTCCAACAATTGTTCCAGGCCATCTATGAAGTTATCAATTCTCTCTTGCAAATAAATTGGGTTGTGCTCAGATGACTGAACGCAGAAACAAAACCCAAAAACGCGGTACGTTAATTGTGGGCTACATAGACAAGACCAATTATATCAAAAATCTTCTCCATACCAGAGTCTGTGAGATGTATGGTCATGACAAAAATATAAGTTATGGATGAGCGGTGCATTCCTTTACCGTCAATACCAGCACTCAGATAAGTAACCCATCCTCTAGACTTGAAAAAGGAAAGCAAGCTTCCTTTACCCTCATGCCCAAGGAGATCAGCAAAATATTCTTCTGGTTTCTTCAGATACTCTTGGCGTAGACATGGTAATGTCCATGACAAGTCAAGGATGTGAACATCTTCAACGGCTTCTAACCAGTGTACTTTACCAGCTTTCCAAATAGGACCTTCTATCCTATATTCTGGCTTTGCTTGGTGACTTTTTTTTGACAGCACCAAACAATTCCACAACCCAGCTGTCAAGAACATTCAAAGACTCTCCACCAATAACAACAAGTTTCATTAGTCCACCGTGGTAATAATCCGTGTATAATGTCAATATTTGTTCCCGCAAATTGATACAATTTTCCATTGCATCAACCAGACTCTTGTTATTCCCCGGAAAGAACCGTTAAAAATGTGATCAGGTACACTAGTGTGGCATCGAACTTGTTGAAGTCGGTAAACATCACTTTGTACAACCCGGTTGAATTCTGAATCTATCGTAAGTACTTCTCGATCCATAGCCTCCATTTTTAGTAAAGGTGAAATAAAGAACTGAGAAAATCTTTTCAAGGCACCGTTGAGAAACTCAGGCTTCACTTCAAAGTGATAACAGGTGTGCTCAGTTTCTGTGTGTGCATTAGGTGAGCCACCATGCAAGTTGCAAATAACTATTATACTCATTTTCATCTGGAAATTCATCACTCCCCATGAAGAGCATGTGTTCTAAAAGATGTGCTAGTCCCTGAGCCTCTAATGGATCAGAGAAGCTACCTATTCCCACACACATTGCCGCCGCCGCCTTTTTAGTCTGCCAAGCAGCCTTTTTACCTTTTCGGACGGCTCTGCGAGGGCCGTCGGGGTAAATCTCAGGATCATGAACTAGCAAAGCACGAAGCCCGTTTTCGAGCTCCACAATTCTGTACAAACGCTTATCATTAGGAGACTTATTTACGATGTCGTCGGATGAGAACGTAGGGCCACCAATTGCCATTGGTTTTTTTCTTCGTCAGGGAAGTCAAAGGGAGAGGAGTTTAGAGTAAGTGTTCAGAGGCAGCAAGCCAGCAAGGAACCTTGTCGCGCCTCTGCTTCGATGGTCTCGGCTACTTAGACGCCACCTATCATAACTTCTTCGTACATTTTTTAAATTTTAAACTAAAAATCTAAATATTTAAATTTAAAGAATTCACCCCAGAGAAGAAAAAAATTATATTAGGTTGTTTCGAATATATCAATAATCATATTTTTATCGAGAAATAGTATGAGTCTTTTGTGTGCGTGTGTGTGTGTGGAAAGAAATATTATGGATTTATTAAATCTTATCGTCTTAGAGAATTAGAATTGGAAGATGGAGGATTATTTGTTTAATATATGTAGTATAATAGTAATCGATCTATTATCATATATATTATAATAATAATAATGCTAGGGCGAAACGAATCTAATAATTCCATCATATTTATATTCCTACATAGAGATATGGATTTTATTTAAAAATTACCCATAACATTTTTATTTTATTAATTTAAATTTATTTGGGATTATATGTTGACGGTCCTTAACAGAAGTAGCTAAACAAGTAGCCAAGTAGAGTCTTGATTAATTATCAGCTCAAGTCAAACAAATTATATTAATATGAAATATTCTTCCGGTCCTTAATATAAGACCCATTTAACTAATTTGATTAGATTAAGGAAGTTAGGTAAGTTAGTTAATTATAAGAAATATGACATGTTTTTTCTAAAATACCATAATCATCTTTCTTAATACCTTTTCTCCCTCTTCTATTTGACTATGGTTGAGGGAGTATCTATAGGGGTAATTTAGAGAAAATTGATAAATATGAGAAATGGTTCTTATATTCAGGACCAAAACCAACTCAACAATTGGGTCCTATATTAAGGATCGGAGGAGTATCGAATTTGAATATCACCTTACATGTTTATTTTATTCAATTATCAAATTTATCGATCTAGAATAAATTTTTCAGACTACCTCTTTGACTTAACAACACCGTATAGCCTCTTGTTATCAGGTAAGATCACAACTAAATTCTTAAATAAATGATTAATCAAAAAATCCCACCTAATATTTGTTGAATGTTCTCTTTTGTAAAAATTCCATTACAAATACTCCTCCGGTTCTTATTATAAGACCCAATTTGACTTTTTATTTGATCCTAATTATAAGATCCAATCCATTTTGTCTCTTATATTTATGCATTTTTTTCCAAGATAATCCTTCTAATAATGATAGTTTTAGCCAATATACTTAATTAGTAAGGATATTTTAGGAATGACAACACTTATTTATTATAAATAACCAACTTAACTTACTTCCTTAATCTCCTCAAATAAGTCAATTGGGTCTTATAATTAGGATCGGAGGAGTATTTTAAATCCAACATATGAATTAAATATGAATTATCCCAACTGGCAATGGATTAATTAAGATGCGTATATAATTCCTTCTGATATGCCTCAAGTTAAAAGAATTTTGGATTCTCATAGTTTCCCAATCAAAATGAAAGGTAACAATTAAAATTGGGTTTGAAAAAAATCATTAAAGAGTACTACCTTCAGTCTTGATTAAAAGACCTTATTGACCTAGATTATAGTCTACCAACAAAGTCTTATAAATATGACCGGAAGTAATAATTAAATAGGTCTTACTCCTCCGGTCCTAATTATAAGACCCAATTGACTTATTTGAGGAGATTAAGGAAGTAAGTTAAGTTGGTTATTTATAATAAATAAGTGTTGTTATTCCTAAAATATCCTTACTAATTAAGTATATTGGCTAAAACTATCATTATTAGAAGGATTATCTTGGAAAAAAATGCATAAATATAAAAGAGAAAATGGATTGGGTATTATAATTAGGACCAAATAAAAAGTCAAATTGGGTCTTATAATAAGGACCGGAGGAGTATATTAAATACCGGAAAAGTAATATATTTAGCATGGGACACTTTGTTTATGTTGACATATAACTTTGTGACAATCTCAGGACTCATTATCACAGAATACTTTAACATAAACACGACAAAATTACATGCGCAACACAAATACACGGAGAAGTAAAGGCTTCAATTGAAAATTTGCATTAAATAACTGTGCCAATCAAACAGTTCCTGGTGGGAATTGAATTCGCAAAAGCAATTTGGTATTCTGTAACTTATTACAAATACAAACAGATAACAATACCACATCTGTTAGCGAACAATGTAGCAATGTGCAGAACAACGAATTTTAAGATACTTCAGTGAGGAGGAAATGTCTTCTTCAACCATTCATATTCAAACCTAAAAATCTTGCGCCTTCTGTTTCTTTCTGCACTATGATCAATAAGACAAAGCACCCTGTTCTTCGTTGATTAAAAACAGACTCTCCACATGATGTCCAGCAAAAGCGTAGACAAAATCCCTTGGTCCCAGATCCTTCGCTGATGCTTTTGCAGGATCTAGCAGAATCATCATTCCTCCATAAATTCTCAGAACCAATTCTCCACTATTTCTAATGGCTAAAACATTTGATATGCCCCCATAACGTCTTGAATTGGAATGAAACACTTCAGCCCATGAATCCGCAGAACCATATTCTTTCATCTCCCAAATACTAATAAATTCTTCATCCAACTCTGAACAATAAGTATGAACCACAGCAAGTGAATCCTCTGCTGCTAAAATTGACAATTGGAAAGGAGACTCTCTCAGAGGTTGTGGTAACGTCAATTCTCCAAATTTTTCTTCAACCAGGTCAAATGTTAAAATGAAATTGTGAATCCTACCATTTCTTCTCTGGCTGACAATCCAATGAATTACACCATTTATAAACATCTGATTCTTCCACAATACTTGCATGCACAGCAGAATTGGGGGAGCTTTACCAGTGATGTTCCTCCATGACCCAGTTGCAAGAGAGTAAACCTCAACCTGAGGAGCTTCTTCCACATTGTTGATTCTCGCAACAAGTCTTACCACCTTCAAATCCTTAGCCTCTGAATCAAAACCAAATCCAAAGAAAACCCTGTTCCTTTCATGGTCAGGGTCGTAGGATCTGAAGCTTACACTGGGTTTGGGAAGCACCAAATATTTCTGAATACATGGATTCCAAATAATAAGATCCGCAGTATCTAATACAGAATAATCAGCGAGACATACCAGTCCATTGCAAGTTCCAACCACCTCCTTGTGCTCACTCGTAAACAGAGGAATGAGGGAGGATTTCAAAACAAAGGGTTCATCCCTTATCTGATTACCAGAACAAACAGCGTAAAAATCTTCGGATTCGTTGTACTTGTATCCCTCTACTCGTTTCTTTAGAGAGATGAAGAGGAAGATGGAGGCAATATCTGGGTTGGATTGAACCGTACGGTTGAAGTGTTCACATATGAAGGAGTGATCTGAGATCAGAGACTTCCAGGATTTGCAGACAGAGATGCAGTTCACAAGAGACTTGAGAGGCAATCTGTGAAGAATTTCCTCCAGGACTTCCGGAGGGAAATAGTAAGACATTTCTGCAACATCGGAAACGAATTCACGGAGATCCAACATTTATTGATGCAGCAACAAAAGAAGAGAAGGATTATACACACAAAAAAAGGATTGATTTCTGATTCTAAAACAAGTCCTGGGGATAGCACTTGCTTTTTTAACAACTCTGCAAGCTACATTCCCATTATATAGTAAAATAATATTTCTCACATGTCAAGGCTTAAAGACAACGTTGATGTGCTCCAGGTCCAACGATGGGAAAGTAAAAAAAATAATACTAATGATGATGATTTAGTCAGAAGAGATTAAATTTTATTGGCGGGGGGTTGGTAGGGTTCGTCTTTTCTTTCTTTCTCTCCGTCAGAGTGGTAGGGTAATTCGTAATCCTTAGTAATAAAATAGTCAAAAATTCCGGGCTTCTCAGCATGGGAAGCTCAAGAATGTCAACTTGTGAAAGCGCCAGAGTTGTCATTCATTGAATGTTTGTCCTTTCACTTTATAAGAATATATCGCGTTTAGGTTGTTAAAAAAGTAAGTGTCAATTTTAAAAATTTAATAACTCATTGACTAATTACTTTATTACCTGACTCTTCATTAATATTCTATCCATAAAGCCAAATCGTCTGATTAACCTTTTTTGAATAAATTTAAACTAGTATGATTTTATTGAATGCTGTAGCAATATAATGACTTGTTTGGTAAGGTGTTGTTTGTATGAGAAATTACTGGTTCTAGATTCTTACCTCATAGATGATCGTTATCCAATTTTGTCAAAGAAAACGGAAATCAAAGCAGCATATGATTAACTCTACTGTTATTGTCTCCTTGCTAGCAAAATTATTGCACGGTCGGAATGAAGGCCCTGAACCAAAGGCCTTATAGTTTAATGGAATCAAGTGATGAGCACTTTAAACTCGTTAAATCTAGACCGTTTATATCTGATTTAAATAGTTTAGATTTAATTTTTTTATTTATTTAAAATAATTATTTTAATAGGTGTAGAATTCAAAATAGAGATAATCTCTTAATTATCATTCTTTTAAAAAATAGTTTTTTCTATTTAAAAATAATTAATTAAAATTTTTAAATTTGAATCGTTCAAATCAGACATAGACAGTCCAAATCTAATGAGTTTAAAGTGCTCATCAAAGTGATGAGCACTAAAACTGGTTACATAGTTTAATAGCATTGATGCTTTCTTGTAAGTGGAAGGTCAATCCGTTTGTAATTTCATATTATTAGTATCTCTTTAAATTTAACAAAGAAAAAAAAAACAAAAGAAAAGAATGAGGGTTCAAAATATTCGGATGACTCATGGACATTGCCATTGCGATTATTGGAAGCACTTGAAGCTTCAGATAACGTTAGAGGTTGGTGAGGAGCTGAGTTGGACATTTTAAAGTTGACCAATGGAAAAACTTGCAATACTGAGCACATGCATGCATGAGAAAATATCAATAGAACATCAAAGCTGACTACTTTGGAGGCTAATTGTGCCGTAAAATTAGCAGTTATATAGTTTAATTAAGAGATTCAATTTGGGGTCATAGTTGATTAAACAGCCATCCTACCTGTATATACCCACCAAATACGAAATGATCATTGAACAAAGACGAGTGCATTTTGGTTCAGTTGCTAGTTGCTTCCAAACGGATACCAGCCATACATTTTATACAAGATTGACAACGTATGCCTAACAAACGAAAGGGACCATAAAGTGTGAAAAGAATTAAAAAAGGGAATTATCGACTTTCAATTGTGATGTTATTCCCCCCGTTAAAAAAAACAGGATATCATGAAAACGACTTATCTCTTTCATTCAAAGGAAAACCTACTTTGAGGGGTAGGAATGGGACTTGCAAACCTACCCCTTGAAGTTAACTAACTATGAAAGAAAAGAATACATATAAATTGCCTTATCTTGCGCTTTCTTTTAATACGCGATCAAAGGTTTTTAGCACCAAACCTCCGTCATTCCTCATGCTTATTAGTACTCTTGATATGCCTCCATAAAGGCCTGAATCAAAAGAAAGTATTAGACTCCATGAACTTACAATACGGGTATTATATTCTTTCATCACCCAGATATACATGAGCCTTTATGAGGCAAAGCCAGTGAATCGCCTTTTGTAAAAGAAGATAGACTAGAACATGATGAACCCAAGCATTGCGGCAACATCAATTAATAATCATTTAAAGAAAAAAAAAATCAATTAATAATCAGCCAAACACAAATAGTAGCCCATTGCCAATTGCAATGGGGAAGCCAAAATCACGTTGATGAATGAGGGGCAGTTTCGAAATATTATACTACTTCTAGTTCTTAATATAAGAGCTATGTGACTAATTTAAGTAGTTTAAGAAAATTAATTAAATTAATTAATTATAATAAATATGTATTGTTTTTTTTTTCTAAAATATCCTTACTAATCAAGTATATTGGTTAAAATTACCCTTATTACAATGACTATTTTTTTTAAAAAAAAAAGAGAGATAAAGTATATTTGAGTCTTATATTTAGAATCAAAATAAAAATCAAACTAGTTCTTATCAACGACAGGGGCAGTACATATATACATACAGATCTGCATGGTTCGTGTTCAAGTTCTATACTTATCCTCAATTTAACCCAAAAGATACCTAAAACAGATTTTATGAGCTGCTTCTATTTTTTTTCTTAATTAGAGAAGTAGGCACTAACACTTTGGGATCAAACTTGCGATTGCTCATTTGATAGAGATATTGAATTATTTTATCATCAGCACAAGACATGAAAAAGATTTAGAAAAACAAGATACCATGAAAACGACTTATCTCTTTCATTCAAAGGAAAACCTACTTTGAGGGGTAGGAATGGGACTTGCAAACCTACCCTTCACTACTACATAAAAGTTGAGCGCTACCAGTGCTACCTGATGATTAGGGGTCTGTTTGGATAACATAGAAAACCATGATTTTGGATCAAAATCCAAGAAAAAACAGAAACCATGGTTTGGGATCAAAATCATGGTTTCAGAAGAAGTAAATTCATTCTACTTCTGGCTCAAATGGGAGAGTATGATTGTACCTGTAGAGTAGATCTCAACGATAATATGATTTTAACATTCCTCAATTATTTTTTTATAAACATATTTAATCTTATATTTTATAAATATATATACATATTAATTATATTATTTTATATATTATTAATTATGTTGGTAAAAAATATATTATTAACAATTTTATTTTTTCAAATTAAAATATATTATAAAATCTATCTTTTATGTAATTGTCATATTAACTTATACATTTTTTAGTAAAATTTGTACATATAAAAAGTTCTTCTGATAACAACTATCCAAACACTTTCATTTATCAGAATCACTTTTTCACAAAATCTATTCTCCACAAATCTATTTTTTCCAAAATCTATTTTTCAGAAGTTATTCTCCAAACCATGATTTGATTTCATCCAAACACACCCTAGGTAGCGTTTCAGAAGCGCGACCAAAAAAATTCCCCCCCCCCCCCCCCAAAATAGGCATAACGGTAGCATTTGGAATTATAAGCGCTGCCGCTTATTGTAACTTTAGGTAGCGCCTAAACCTTAAAAGTGTCACCTTGAGTTTTTTGTTAATTTTATTAATTAAAGCTTCTGGCAGCACTTGAGTCACAAAAACGCCACCTACGGTTTTATTGTTTTTTTTTAAATAATTAAAGCATCAGGTGGCTCTTGTGCAGTACAAGTGGTAACTAATGCTTTGTTTTTTTTTTTTTAAAATTTCCATATAAGTGCCACCTAAAGTTTTTTATTAATATTTTACAAATTTACGTTAATTACCACCAAAACACAAAATTGTTTATAGAAGATTAATAACGACAATCAAATACCAGCATAATTAACTTAACTATATCACAAGAAATAACAACCATCCAATGTGATGACACTTGTAACTATTGAGTCAAACTATATCACAAGTTCTTCCTCCTTAACATATACTACCTCCGGTCTTTAATATAAAACTTTGTTTGACTTTTATTTTGGTCCTAAATATAAGAACTCAATCCACTTTGTCTCTCATATTTATGCATTTTTTTCCAAGATAATGCTTCTAACAATAATAGTTCTAGCCAATACACTTGATTAGTAAGGATATTTTAGAAAATACAATACATATTTATTACAAATAACTAGCTTAACTTTTTTCTTTAATCTCCTCAAATTACTCAACTGGCTCTTACAAATAGGACCGAAGATAGTAATTAATAATAATGTAACTTTGATGGGAACATAAGCCATGAAATGAATAGAACAATAGATATGACGCCGACCAAGTAAGGTAAATGTCTATTTAAGAATGAAGAGAGAAGCAACATGTAAAATATAAAAATAAACATAAAAGGCTTCAATGTGTTTCATTCTTCGAATTTAAAGGCAGAGCAAAATAGCAGCAAATTTTTTCTTTAATCTTAATGTGAAAAGGAAAAGTCAATTCCTATTATACTTTGCTGTGCTACCTTAGAATTCTCATTGTCTTGCATAGAAAGGCTACAGCACATTACATTTGTTTAATTAAATTAACAGAATAAACTTAAAAGAAGAAAGAGGAAAGAAGCTTACTCAAATAACAGCAACCCATGGACAATCTTAGAGACAACGGCAACGGAAGTTGAAGACACACCTACAAACCTCACAAACGGAATGAAGCTTTTGAGTTGAGGGTTGCATGGGGCTTTCAAGAGTATTAGATGGAAGCTTTTTAATAAATATTATTCTCACAGGATTCTTTATTTTAATTCTCCAAAAAATTAAAATCAATCAGGTAGCACCTGGCTAACCTAACGCTACCTGGTTCAATAGAAACAAAAATATTAAAAACATTCATGCAGCCCTTAGGATTCTAATGCGCTACCTAATTCCTCTAAAAATAAATATATTAACAAATTAAAGAAGATAGCGCTTTAATAGGTTAAGCGGTACGCAATTCATTTATCAGTAATTAGATTAGGGAGCACTTCATACGCAAATGCTACCATATTAGTTTCAAAAATGACTAAGCGGTAACGCTTATTAAATAAAGTGCTACCATACAAATTAAAAATAAAATTAAATATAAAGTATAAATAAAATGTAGCATTTTGTAGAGAAAATGCTACGAAATGTACGCTACTAAAGTTACTTTTTGTAGTAGTGCTTGAAATTAACTAACTATGAAAGAAAAGAATACATATGAATTGCCTTATCTTGTGCTTTCTTTTAATACGTGAAAGCGTATTTTCTATTGGTTTATTGAAAACAAGCTCTCCTCCAACAAAACTCACAGTATATCCTCCTACATACTTTGGTTTGGACCCAATAAAATTACTCCGATCTTTAATATAGGATCTAGTTATTGAGTTGGTTTTGATTCTAAATATAAGACCCATTTCTCATACTTATCAATTTTCTCTAAATTACCTATATAGATACCCTCTCAATCATAATCAAATAGAAGAAGGAGATGGGGTATTAATAAGGATGATTATAGTGTTTTAGAAAAAATGTATCACATTTCTTATAATTAACTAACTTACCTAACTTCCTTAATCTAATCAAATTAGTTAAATAGGTCTTATATTAAGGATTGGAGGAGTACATTATGATCAAAGGTTTTTGGCACCAAATCTCCATTATTCCTCATGCTTATTATTACTCTTGATATGCCTCCATAAAAGCTTGAATCAAAAGAAAGCATTAGACTCTAATGAACTTACAATACGGTATTCTTTCATCACCCAGATATATATGAGCCTTGAACAGTTTTTATGAGCCAAAGCCAGTGAATCGCCTTTTGTAAAAGAAGATAGACTAGAACATGATGGATCCAAGCACTGCGGCAACATCAATTAATAATCAGCCAAACACCAATAGTAGCCCATTGCAATGGGGAAGCCAAAATCACATGGATGAATGAGCAGCAGTTTCGAAATATTATACTATCTCTAATCCTTAATATAAGAGTTAGTTGACTAATTTGAGTAAATTAAAAAAAAATAGTTAAATTAGTTATACATAATAAATATATGTTGTTTTCCTAACATATCCTTATTAATCAAATGTATTAGTTAGAACTATCATCCCTACAAGGACTACATTAAAAAAAAAATATAAATATGAGAAATAAAGTAAATTTAGATCTTATATTTAGGATTAAAATAAAAGTTAAACCAACTCTTATATTAAGAACCGGAGATAATACATATATACATTCAGATATGCATGGTTCGTGTTCAAGCTCTATAGTTATCCTCAATTTAATCCAAATAATCCAAAAGATAGCTAAAGCAAATTTTATGAGCTGCTTCTATTTTTTTCCCCCTACTGAGAGAAATAGGCACTAACACTTCGGGATCAAACCTGCGACTGCTCATTTGATGGAGATACTCTGAGACTGCAATTCTAGTATAAATTTGATTTGATATAATTTTAATTTTAACTAACAAAATTTAAAATCTAGCCATGAGTTAAGAATGATAATTATAAATCAATTTACCTGACAGATTTTTTTGGGTCATTTTTTCTTTATTTTGTAAAAGCGAAATCGCCAGTTCGCCACCGCAAACTTTCTTTTTCTCTCTTTTTTATATTTTCATGACTGCAACTGTGTATCGCGGCCCGCAAAGGACAGCACATAAGTAAACATGACCTCTGCGTCTTCACATTTTCTTCTCGAACTTGGGCCCATCCGGCCCAGTATACCCTCTAGCACTGTTCCTTGGCTTCCAAGCCTCTAATGTTCATTCGTGGAGTATTTTTTAAAATGAATCATAAAAATTTCATTAAATTTTTTAATTTTGTAAAGGATCTTGTACCAGAAGACTAATGGAAAGGATATTATTATAAGTAAATAAATTGGAATATTATATAAATAGCGACGAGCATTACATTATTTGGGTGAAACAAAACGAACATCAACAAAGTCTTTGACATAAGACTTGTACTTTTGCTTTATCAGAAACAAACTCTCCACATGATCTGCAGCAAAGCCAACCTCATACTGTCGGAGTTCAAGATCTTTGGCTGCTTTTGGCTTCTCCAAATCATTATCTAATAAAAATAGCATGCCGCCAATCACTTTTACCACCATTTCCTCAGAGCTCCTCAGAGCTATTATTCTCTGTATGCGTGGATAATGTCTTAAATTAACACAACGCACCAGATTCCATGAATCCACAGCACCGTACTCTTTCATCACCCATATGTACATCACATCACTCCCCTCTGAATCTTTCTTCCGATAAGCCAAAGCAAGACAACTTCCTCTAACCAAAAGAGATGGATGAAAACATGACTCGTCGTCCCAGCAATTTGGTAGCATTGTTTCTCCGAATGTCTCTTCAGCCAAATCGAACGTCGATATAAAACTAGGACGTCGTTGGTTGTTGCATTTCCCACAAAAAACCCAATGTAATGCACCATTCACAAATGTCAGACTACGTTTCGAACTCAAATGGGAGCATGAAAATATTGAAGGAACCCCATCTTTGATGCTTCTCCATTGACCACTTGCAAGAGAGTACACGTAAACCTCAACTGGTGCAATGAGTGGATTCTTGTACCAGCCAGGGACAAGCACGACAACCTTAAAGTCCTTGTTTCCAGAATCAAAACCAAACCCAAACATAATATGGCCCCTATAAAGAGAGAGATGTTCAGGGAATAGTGTCCCCAAACTCGCATATATTTCGGGAAGCACGATGAATTTTCGAATAGACAGGTTCATAATTATAAATCGATCGTGCCATGATGATTCTGAGTACTTAACTATACATACTAACCCATTGCAGGTGCCAACTGTTGAAGCATGATTCAAAAAGCTCACGTGATGCTGATAGCTAGGAGTCATATTCTTCTCACGTATTTGGTGCCAGTATTTTTCGCAAGTCAGTTTGTTAGTGCAAAGTAGTGGGTTATTTTTATTAAATATTTATTAGTTGAAGCAAATATCTTGGGCTGTTCCAGATATCTTTTTACCCAGTCAAATAAGTTGTTTAGAGTCAGTTGTAGTGGTGGTAGTGGAGTCCGAAATTCCTGTTGAGTTAACGTGTCTGTAAGCCTATAAATATAGGCACTTTTATTTATTCCAATGCATTGAGTATTATCCACCGAATATATTTTAGAGTGGGGCCTTCTTTTCTTTACTTTATCACTCTCCTTCACGTGACTTCCCCAACAAATTTGGCATCAGAGCCTTCTTTGATCCTGTGGCTACTCGAGTGAACGTAAGGTTTGGGTTAGAGTGAAACACCTTTTCGGGTTCTTGGGAAACACGAGAGCAGGAGAGAGAGAGATAGAGAGAGAGTGTGTGTATTACATTGTTTTGACCGCAGATTGAACAGGAATGGCGAGTTTAACTGGCTTTTCTTCTTCTCAACCGCTTTTACCCATTTTTAATGGAGAGAAATATGAGTGGTGGAGCATCAAGGTCAAAACCTTGCTCAAATCGCAGGACTTGTGGGATCTGGTGGAATATGGGTTCATTGACATATTAGAACCCACTGAAGCTGAAGAGGAGAGGCTGAAAGCAACTAAGCAAAGAGATGCCAAGGCATTGTTCATACTTCAACAAGCAGTCCATGAGACTATTTTCTCACGGATTGCAGCAGCCGCCACATCAAAGGAAGCATGGTCCATTCTACAGAAGGAGTTCCAAGGTGATTCAAAGGTCATTGCTGTGAAACTGCAATCATTGAGACGTGACTTTGAAACCTTATTAATGAAGAACGGAGAATCGATTGCTGAGTTTTTGTCAAGAGCAATGGCAATAGTTGCTCAAATGCGATCTTATGGTGAACAGATTTTGGATGAGACGATTGTTGCCAAAGTTCTGAGGAGCTTGACTGCAAAGTTTGATCATGTTGTAGCTGCCATAGAAGAAGCCAAGGATCTGTCGGTTCTTTCCGTAGATGAACTGATGGGTTCTCTTCAAGCTCATGAGGCAAGAATCAACCGATCGGTGGACAAGAGCGAAGAGAAAGCATTCCAAGTGAAAGAGACAGCCATTGAACATAGAGAAAATGACCGTCCAGCAAGTAGAGGTCGTGGCAGAGGAGGATTCCGTGGTGGCCAAAATCGTGGTCGTGGTAATGGTAGGGGCAGAGGAAGGCAATCCTATGAGCAAGGTAACACAAAAAGCAGCATTCAGTGTTATCATTGCAATAGACATGGGCATATACAAGCTGATTGTTGGTTTAAAGATCAGAATATGAACTTTGCAGCAGAGGATGAGGAGGACAACAAGCTTTTTATGGCTTGTGTTGATACTAATCATAAACCAAGTGATTTGTGGTTTGTTGACAGCGGTTGTTCAAACCACATGACGGGCACCAAATCTGTGTTTAAGGAGCTTGATGAGTCACAAAGGCAAAAGGTGCAGCTTGGCAATAAAAGGGAGATGCAAGTTAAAGGAAAAGGCACTGTGGGTGTCGACACTAGCCATGGCAAAGTAAAAATGTTAGACAATGTTCAATTTGTACCTGATTTAGGATACAATTTGCTGAGCGTTGGACAACTAATGGCTGATGGATGTTCTGTTATGTTCGATGATGATGCATGTGTTATTACAAATAAAAAATCTGGCAAAAAGATTCATGTCAGCATGACTCCAAACAAGATGTTTCCATTAGACGTTGCTAATATGGAGAACTTTGCTCTTGCTACAAGTGCAAAGGATGACTCAAAATTGTGGCACTTGAGGTACGGGCATCTCAACACAAGGGGCTTGAAACTGCTGAGTGATAAAGATATGGTTCTTGGACTACCAGAAATTGGTTCTATTGATATTTGTGAAGGGTGCATTTATGGGAAACAAACTAGGAAGTCTTTTCCTATTGGAAAAGCATGGAGAGCTTCTGAATGCTTAGAATTAATTCATGCTGATTTATGTGGACCTATGCAAACCAAGTCCTTGGGTGGGAGTCGTTATTTCTTGCTGTTTATTGATGATTACAGTCGCATGAGTTGGGTGTATTTTTTGGAAAACAAATCAGAAACTTTTGACAAGTTCCAGAAGTTTAAGGCCTTGGCAGAAAATCAAAGTGGTAGTCATATCAAAGTTCTTCGCACAGACAGAGGAGGAGAGTTCATGTCCAATGAATTCAATTTGTTCTATGAAGATAATGGCATCCATAGGGAGTTAACAACTCCTTATACTCCGGAGCAAAATGGTGTTGCTGAACGAAAGAACCGAACCATTGTGGAGATGGCACGAAGCATGCTGCAAGCAAAAGGACTTTCAAATCTGTTTTGGGCAGAAGCTGTAGCAACATCTGTCTATTTGTTGAATCTCTCACCAACAAAGGCTGTCATGAATAAGACTCCATATGAAGCTTGGTGTGGAAGGAAGCCAAATGTAAGTCACTTACGAATTTTTGGGTGTATTTCCTATGCTTTGATAAATTCTCAAGCTAGACAAAAGCTTGATGAGAAATCTGAAAAATGCATTTTTATTGGTTATTGTACTCATTCCAAAGCATATAGATTGTATAACCCTCTTAGTGGCAAGATCTTAATTAGAAGGGATGTAACATTTGATGAAAATACAAGCTGGAATTGGAGTGAAGAGCAGGTACAACAAGAGACTCATGACCCCATTGGAGTCTTTTCAGATGATACAGAAAAACAAATTCGAGCAAGCTCTCCTATTGGCTCAACACTAAGCAGTAACTCTTCATCTACAGCTCTTGGAGAGGTTTCAACCGAGCCAATTCCATTGAGAAGATCAACAAGAGCCAAAAAGCCAAATCCCAAATATTCTGATGACATATATACTTGTCAATTTGCTCTTACTGTTTCAGATCCATTATATTATGAATGCAGCTGAAAAGGAAGAATGGCAAAGAGCAATGATGGAGGAAATGAAGTCCATTGAAAAGAATGGAACTTGGGAGATGGTGGAATTACCAGAAGGTAAAAATGTAATTGGCTTGAAGTGGGTGTATAAGACAAAGTTTGCTGCAGATGGGAGCCTACAAAAGCACAAAGCTCGTCTTGTGGCAAAAGGCTATGCACAGCAATATGGTGTTGACTTTGAGGAAACTTTCTCACCAGTGGCCCGGTTTGAGACAGTGAGACTTGTTCTTGCTTTAGTAGCACAATTACAATGGCCAGTTTATCAATTTGATGTCAAATCAGCTTTTCTTAATGGAGACTTACAAGAAGAAGTTTATGTGGCACAACCAGAAGGTTTCATAAAAGAGGGCAGTGAAACAAAAGTTTACAAGCTGAAAAAGGCGTTGTATGGTTTGAAGCAAGCTCCTCGCGCTTGGTACAGCAGGATTGATGGATATTTTCAGAAGAAGGGGTATATGAGAAGTGAAAATGAGCCCACCTTGTATGTAAAGAAGGAAGGTAATGATTTCATCATTGTTTGCCTTTATGTTGATGATATCATTTACACTAGTTCCTCTGTTGCTCTTATGGATGAATTTAAATCACAAATGATGAATGAGTTTGAGATGTCAGATATGGGTTTGTTACATTATTTCCTTGGCCTTGAAGTTCATCAAGCTAAAGACGGAATATTTCTTTCTCAAAAGAAATATGCTAGAGATCTTCTCAATAAATTTGGCATGCTTAATTGCAAGCCTGCAGCTACACCCATGAATATCAATGAGAAATTACAGCAAGAAGATGGAGAAGAGATGGTAGATGCAAAGAGGTTTAGAAGCTTAGTTGGAGGCTTGATTTATCTTACTCACACGAGACCTGATATTGCATTCCCAGTTGGTGTAATTTCCAGGTTTATGCAGCATCCTTCAAAAGTTCATTTTGGAGCAGCAAAAAGGGTCATGCGCTACATTGGTGGAACCTTGGAGTATGGCATTTGGTACTCTAAAGTCTCTAATCTCAGATTGTGTGGGTATACAGATAGTGATTGGGCTAGTTCGTTGGATGATAGACGAAGTGTGTCAGCAAATGTTTTCACTCTTGGTTCAGGGGTAATTACTTGGAGTGTAAAAAAACAAGCTACAGTAGCATTATCAACCTCAGAAGCAGAGTTTATTGCAGCAACTTCAGCAGCTTGTCAAGCAATTTGGCTCAGAAGAATATTAGTAGATCTTCAACAAGAACAGAAGGGACCAACAGAGATATTTTGTGACAACAAATCAACTATCTCCATGACAAAGAACCCAACATTTCATAACAGAACCAAACATATTGATATTCGCTATCATTTTATTCGGGATCTGGTAGCAAAGGAGGAGATAGCATTGAAATATTGCAGCACGCAGGAGCAGCTCGCTGATGTTCTGACAAAGGCCTTATCAAAAGAAAAGTTCTGCTATCTTAGAGGATTGCTTGGTGTGTGCGTTTTTGAATCAAGGGGAATGTTGAAGCATGATTCAAAAAGCTCACGTGATGCTGATAGCTAGGAGTCATATTCTTCTCACGTATTTGGTGCCAGTATTTTTCGCAAGTCAGTTTGTTAGTGCAAAGTAGTGGGTTATTTTTATTAAATATTTATTAGTTGAAGCAAATATCTTGGGCTGTTCCAGATATCTTTTTACCCAGTCAAATAAGTTGTTTAGAGTCAGTTGTAGTGGTGGTAGTGGAGTCCGAAATTCCTGTTGAGTTAACGTGTCTGTAAGCCTATAAATATAGGCACTTTTATTTATTCCAATGCATTGAGTATTATCCACCGAATATATTTTAGAGTGGGGCCTTCTTTTCTTTACTTTATCACTCTCCTTCACGTGACTTCCCCAACACCAACCATGTCCAAGTCACGCTTAATTTCATCACGCAGCCGTGACGTTGTTATAATTGCGAGGCAACTAGCTTCTTTATCATGGGAACGTACAGAAAGAAATTGCTCTGATTTTATCTTCTCTTGGGAAGGAAATAACCGACATGGGAGGCCACAAAATATGGAGTGATCTCGATGAGGGTGTTCCAGAAATTTGTATTGAAGAAAAAGAGGTTCGTCATTGCCATTGTTGGCTTTTCTATGATCCAAATGAGCAAGGATGAAGGATTGTTTAGTGATAATAGACTTCCAAGCCTTGCAAACACAAATGCATTTTCCTAATGATTTCACCGGCAGTCTCTGAAAAATGTTCTCCCAAATTTCTCGAGCAAGACCCTCAGACTCGGCTGCTTCAACGGATTTTCTGTTTCTACTTCTGTAGGGTTGCCACCACCCACAAAATATAGCTGTTCAAAAAAAAAAAAAATCAAACACAATGATAAAATAAAAGGAGAGAACAACTAGAAAATAAAGGTGATGTGCATATATATACGCAACAAGATACCTTTCAAGAAAATGCTTACAGAAAAATCAAACCTGAAAAAAAAGAACGAAAAGTTATTCAGAAATTTCTGATCTAATTTTTAGAAGACTGGTATAAAGGAACTGGGGACATAACATACCAAGGTGCGTGCATGGTTGGCCTCTCAGTCTGCTTTTCTGTCTCGGTGGGATCATCAGATCGCTCTTTATATTTGATGCCGCCATTCTTGATTGACTGGAAATCATGTTAGCTTCAGTTCTGTTGGAGTCAATCCCCATGCGATCTTTCGAAATATATTTTTAAAGATTGAACTAGATTTTTGTTTATCTAGTTAATAACAATTGTATCGTTAATAATTTAAAATTTTCAATTGAAGATTTTAGAATTCAAATAATAGCAAGTTTTCTTTTGGAAAAAAGACAATAAAATACCCTTAAAATTATTAAATGACAAATTAGGATTGGTGAATTTCAAAATCTCAATTTAGGTCTTAGGTAGCATTTTGGAATTTTCAAATCTTGTAAAATAACAACATTGTCCTTACTATCGATGATTACTTCCATGTAGCTATTGACTACTCTATTTTAACTATTAACTACTTTTGTTTTTAAAGTTCTAGTTATTACTTTTATATAGCTATTGACCACACAAGAATAGTAAATCGCAATACTAGAGTAGTTAGTAGCTTAATAAGAGTAGTCATCATAGTTTAAAAGTAAATGTAGTTAATAGTTAAAAAAGAGTAGTCAATACATAAGAAAGAGTAGTCACCGGAACTCCCATGATTGGTCACAGGAGTTCCGATAACATGTCATCAGAGTTTAAAAATAAATGTAGTCAATAGCTAAAAAAGAGTAGTCAATACATAAGAAAGAGTAGTCATCGGAGCTCCAGTAGTTAGTCGTCGGCAGGATCGCTAGCATCAGAGCTCTAGCGGTCAAAATTGCTGAGGTGGCAATATTAAAAAAAAAGGTAAAAATAGTAAAAGACATTTTTGTAATTTTACAATATTTAAAAATTCTAAAAAAATACCCAGGGTCTGAATTGGGATTTTAAAATTTAGAAACCCTTATTTTTCATTTAGTATTTTTTAGGGTATTTTAGTGTCTTTTTTCCTTTTCTTTTTGGCCAAATAACAATAGAAAGGTTTGAAAATTAAATTTTGAATAATTCATTATCGAGTTTGCATTTGGAGTATTTGTAGATAAAATTTCAGTTTTTATGTTAGTCAGCTTTGCCTTCAATGGAGCAGAAGAAACATTTGAGTCCGATCCTTCTTTTCCAATCTCACAATGATCTTGGTCTTCGGCGTCATCATCCAAATTCAGGTTAATTTTTATTGTGTCTCTGTCAAGACCCTAGCATATCAAATCTTTCCTCACCGAGGACCTAATGTATTTCTTGTAAATGAGTTCTTTTTCTTCACAATTATATTTATATTATTTTTTGAAGAAAGGTGCAATCCTATTTATATTTACATCTTATCCTATTAATTATTCTTATTATTGGACTAAATCCCAATTATAAAAGAAATATTTATCAAAGACATAAGTTACACTACTAAAATTTTGAACGTTCTCACAGAAAATTAACCATCTGGCTCCGCAAGTCACACCACACATTTTTCTCTTTCTCCCATGGATTTCTTCCCAGTGAACAGGCCTGTGAAATGCAGGGAAAGTGACGTCCGTGACTAAAACCTGACCCGCATATTGATATTTAGATTTTCACGATTTGGGATGAGGACTCTTCTGCAATATGGTCCTCTGAGATTTAATAATCTGGACGGTCCAGATTGGTCCAATTCTCCTACGTCCTGTTTGTAGAATTGTCAGTTGTCACCCATTTAATCTTATATCTGGTCCACTTTCTTCATTAGTGAAAGGATTAATAAGAAATTTAAGGGGGGGAGGAAAGGGGTGTGCAAGCAGTCCCGAAAAGAGTTGGCAAAAAATTAAATTCCGTATGAGAGAATGAACAAGGAGACCGTAGGAACTCAACATTCAAGGGCATTAGCAAACCCGCAAAACAAGAACATACGGAGCAGAAACATTACAAGGTAATGAAGGATCGTTTCAAGTAGTATGTTAAGTGGCAAGTTTACTGAGGATTAGGAGGGCGACTATTAGCAGCAGAGACCCTGGAGCCCCATTCAAGCAACTCTTTGCTGGTATCATCCTTGTGAACTATCACCTCTATGAAGCATAGGCAATCCTTCTTAGGTCCTGTTGCTGTTTCAATTGCTTCAATCAGCTCCTCTTCACAGAAGACCTGCAATTAAAGTACAGGCATAAAAGGACACAGAATCAGCATCTTATCCATTATTGCTTTATAAAAAAGTTGATAGGCTTCAAAATGAGGTATCAGTTCCATCCATAATCATATTTTGAGTCATTTGCTTCTTCTGTAATTTTCTCTCTAAATACATGAATGCAGGTAGAAAATTACCTTGGCGGTCCAGCATTTGCCTTCCCCGTTGTGGATTGCCTCAATCAGCCCAGTATAATTCCAGTTCTTGATCACATTGTATGGCCCATCATGGATTTCAACTTCAATAGTGTATCCACCATTGTTTATCAGAAAGATTATGGTCTTCTGCCCACATCGCAGCATTGTTGATACATCCTGAGCAGTCACCTGCAAAGCAAAAAGGGCATTGAATTTCATTAGGCTTGAACACTTGAACTCAACAAATTTAGATTCTTGCTAAACTCTCTGGCCATGAAGAATAAGACAAACCTGGAAACTTCCATCGCCTATGCAAGCAATCACTCGCTTCTCAGGAACAGCCTGTGCATAACCAAGGGTTGCACCAACAGACCACCCAATTGATCCATATTGCATTTGGAACTCATAACTGTGAACCAATGGGGAAAAAAAAAAAAAAATCAGTACTTCTAAGAAAAATAAGCCGAGAAATCCCAGAGATCAAATTTTTGGGGTGCTCACCCACAACCCCTTGGCAGTTTCAGCTTCTGGCAGTTAAACCATGAATCACCCGTCTCAGCAATTACAGCAGATTCACTAGACAACATCTTTTGTATATGCTCGAACAGAACATTAACCCTCAAAGGTTCCTTAGGTGCAGACTTCAATGGATGCCCTTCAGGAACATAAATCCTGTGGTAGTTTTCATAAGCAGTTTCATTATGCTTAAGTCGCTTAGCTAGTGCCCCAAGGAAGTCCCTCATCAACACACACCCAAATGCAGGGCCATTTCCAATTACAACTCGTTCTGGCTGCACAATGATCGCCTTATCTTTCTTGAGAAGATGTGAATAACCAACAGAGCTGTAGTCATTGAAGATAGGTCCAGCAAACAAGTATGCATCAGCAGACTCCACAATCTCAGCACAGAAAGCAGTACTCACTGCACCCCAGTAAGTTCCAATGAAGTGGGGATGGTGCTCAGGAACTAATCCTTTAGCTGATGGCATCACAGCAAGTGCATAACCAGAACCATCAGCTAGTTCAACAAAGGCTTCGCCTGCCTTTGCCACTCGCATTTTGGGCCCAGCCACTAGAACTGGTTTTACTGCCTTGTTGAGGAATTCAGCAGCAGCCTCCACAGCTGCTTCCAACCCCATCCGATTACTCAGTCTGTAAAATACATCAAGATAGAATCGATCAATGAGAAAAGTTCTAAAATATTCTCGATTCAAGAGGGAAATAATCAAAAGGTCGAGAAGGTTACCTTGGAGATAGTGAAAAAGGAACAGGTTCACGACTGAAAGTGGGGTGAGGAATCCCAGGCAAGTTGCAGCTTATGCTTATATACACAGGCTTGCTTTCTTTCAGGGAGGTTGAGATCGCCGTATCAATCAATTCATGAGCGTCTTCCAAGTTGTTCACCACAGCCTATATAGTTTCAAGGTATCAAAACCAATAAGCTTAAATGATCAGCAATAGAGATACAATCTATCACTTCTCCGATGACGAAAATAGCATGAAATCGGTATCTGATTTTTATCTGGGAGACTATCACAAGCACCTAATCGACATTTTATAGTACAAACACTACGATGTATCCGACCCTGAACTTGGGAGCTCATGAAATAATAATTAGAAGTAAATTCGGAAATCGCAATGAAATTAGTACCTGGTAGCAAGTGACAGTTTGGAAGCATCGAAGCTCTTGGCTGAAATCGGGCAAACCAATAGTGTGATGGAGGATCCGGTTGGTGCCGTAGTCATTGGAGTTGGGACCACCGACGATACAAATGAGGGGCAAATTCTCACTGTAGGCACCAGCAATGGCGTTGATAACACTGAGGCCACCGACGGTGAAAGTGACGACGCACGCACCGACGCCACGGGCGCGAGCATAGCCGTCAGCCGCATAGCCGGCGTTGAGCTCGTTACAGCAGCCGACGAGGTTGAGCCCCGGTTCAGCTACCAAATGGTCAAGAAGGGTGAGGTTGAAGTCGCCGGGAACGGAGAAGACGTCGGTGACACCAACCTGAACAAGTCGGCGAGCCAAGTGGCGACCGAGAGTGGCCTCAGAGGAGCTGATCGCACAGGGAGCAACAGAGCTCTGAATGGTGCATACGGTGCTGTTTGGTGGGCCACCCACGTCGTTACTGGCGGCTTTACAAGCGTCTATAGCTCCAATCTTAGTTTCCATGGAAGAGGGATTCTTCTGGGATCTTCTAAATGAAAAGCTAAGGTGGAAGGAGAAAGAGAGCGCGATGATGGGGAGAAAGACAGAAGGACGAGAGTGAAGGTTTGAAATTTCTAGGTGCCCTGGTGTTGGAATTTGAGGCGTATAATATATACATACATATATACGGCTAGGAAGGCTTCACCGACTGAGATCGTTATTATGGAAAGACAAGGGAAAAGAGAGCGAAAGTGGAGAACAGAGAAAAGAGTGAGATACTAGGGGCGTGTGGGGTTTTGGTAACGCTGGAATCGGAGGTTTAGTCTTTCGGCGACCGTGTCTGGTTTTTGCTTTTGGTTTTCGGTTTTGGCCGTACAGAACCAAATAGTGGTGCAGTGATTTTTCATTTTTGTTTGCATTCTGGAAAATCCCTGCGTGTTTAGCACGTAGAATTATTCATCAAAAAGAAAGATTCTGTATTCTGATGGCAAATGGTAGCGCCAATTACGCAATTAGCCCAACTTGCCCAATCCCTGTACTAAGCAAATTCCAAGTTTTGCTCTTATTCATTACCTTGCTGACTGATTTTTATAGAATTTTTGGCATATATTCTGGTAGACACGGTGAGTTTGAGGAATGACCGAATATGTGATAATTTTTTCCCAAAAAGAAAAAAATCAGATCACATGTATTAATTGAAATTACAAATAAAATCGAATTTCCATGTACAACAGAGTTTTCATCCTACTAAAATACAGAACCATGGGCACTATTGTTTTACCTTCAATGAGTGATGATACTTTAAGTAAATAATATATATTCAGATTTTTTTTCTTGACCACCATCACACGTATTTCAGATTTTATACTTTATATAAATGACTGATCGCTATCTCTCACTGTACAAAATGCACGAAAAATTCAAACGATCATTAGCATCATAGTAAAACTACTGAAGAATAACAATTTTATTTTAAATATTCGTTAATTAATTCATGTATTTGGGAGTGAGTAAGTTTACATTTTATTAGTCCATATCATCATTGCGTTCAATAACTTTTTTACATATTAGGTAGAAAATTTTTTTTTTTTTACATGAAGAGATGGGGACTTTTAAACCCCCCCGGGGGGGCTCCAGCCCCAAATTTTAGTATTATATTTCCAACTCTACCCAAAAATCTCATTTTTACTCGATTATAACCCAAAATACCAGCTAGTTTGATTCGAATTGACCTTTTTTTTTGTGACGAAGGGAAAGGAAACATGTGGACTAATTTTGATACTAGATGGTGCTGGAATATCTAAAAAAAAAAGGTCAAATTATCAAGATGCTTTTCAAATAAGTTGAAAATTTGTCCTAAAATTACTCCATTGAGAAGAATATATATACTTATAATTCTTGTATCAGTCATTTTTAATCCATTCTTTGCGGCACTGCCAACAATACCATAATAGACCCGAAGTCAAAGTGCTCGAGACTAACTAGCTAGATGGATATTTATTCATTGTATTTACCTTCACGCTATCCACTTACCAATTCTTGGAGATTGTGGTCTGCGGTTAAAAAATGGAAAAGGATGAAATGAAAAAAGAAAATTCAAATGATACTTTTTAACTTTAGAAAATCAATTTGGATGATTTATTTTTGGGATTAAAGCATCGAGTCATTCTCTTTTAGTTATAAATTTGATTTCATTGAAAAGCAACTTTAAATAATTAATACAAAAACAACAACGATCATGATAATTACAGCCCTTTTTCCCTAGTTTGCCCTTTCTTGGACTTCAAGTTCGTATAAATGACTTCAATGGGGAAGTCCTTGAAAGTTCTGGCGAGTCACGAGATATAGAACAACTTTTTTGAAAATTTTAATTCTTTGGGAGCAAGTGATAGGAAAAAATTCCATTTTATGCATGAATGAATAAGCATTTATGTCCCCCAAAAATGACTTCATTTTTTGGTTATTACAATCAATTTAAACTCACACACAAATATATTAATATTAAGTTTAAATTTGGGATTTCATCCAAATATAGTTGATAGTATCGTGACTGGCACAGTTTGCCATCAACAAAATAACTTGGTATTTGTGTGTGCGTAGTAAATTATTTGGCTCTTTACCCCAAAGTTTGGAATCATGGCGTTCATGTGCTTTCTTGTGAAGATCTGCCTTTTTGAAACCTTAATTATTCTTTTGGAGGCAAGTGAAGGGGGGATTGCTTTTTTTGTGCAGTGCATGAATGACAGGAATTATGATCGTCATTATTCAAAAAAAGTATTGAATAAGTATTCGTGTCTAAAAAGAGTAACCTCGTTTTTTTAATTACATGTTAATATTGGGTTTAAGTTCGACGAGTAATACTATTATTGGGAGGCTTTGCCATCACCAAGCAACTCGGTGCTTCTGCGTAATAAATTATTTAAGACTTGACCTGACAGTTCGGGATCAGTGTACATGTGATTCCTAGTGAAGAAGCCTTTAAGCGTTGCGAGATCTACCCAGTCTCATCTTGAAATTACCTGCTATTAACCACCGACCATTTCATTATTCCTTTTTTTTAAAAAAAAAAGAATTACAATAAAGTCTCAAAGAAAAAAAATTACAACACAAGTGCCATAAGTTCTTATTTTCTATTCTGAAACTTGTCATTACAGGTTGCTTAGGTTGTTATTGAGACTTTTTAGTAATTATTTTCCTTTTTTAAGACTTGATTATAATTTTTTCTTTTTTTCCTGCTTTATATCTCCTAAAAGAATCCAACATATACAGTTGTTGGAGATTCAATTTGATCCTAAATATAATATCCTAATTAACTTTGATTTCAATATTTATTTATTTTGCTTCCAAGTAATCCACATAGTGATTATATATGTTAAGGAGTTTTCAACAATAGATAGTTTATGTGCATATGATTTATTAATAAGAATATTTTAAATAACACAACATCAAATTATTTTACGTAACTAATTTAATTAATTTTTATGATATCCGTAGAATAGTTATCTAATTTTTATATTAAGAATAGGAAACAGTATTACATTAGGTTCGCGTATCTGGGTCAAACTAGCGTTGTGATTGTAACCAAAGTAATTTATTTAAATTTGATAATATATTTCCCTAAATAAAAGTTTGACATTGGCAATTTTCTTTTTTGTTTATTGGATTCCATATTATATATACAGCGTGAATCTAACTTGGTATGTTCCTTTCATGAATTCTTATAATAAACGAGTCCTAAAGATATTAAAGTTCTATACTTGCGTCATAAAAGGGACACTTCCCTCCTACTTATGGAATACAAAAAGGATTTATTTATGAATTACTTTATTTCATCTGTTCTCTGCCTTTTCTTTTTTAATTTCTCGCAAACATAATTAGTAAAAATGGATAGAGTCAAAAGGGGCCTAAGGATTCTCTTCCTAATTTAGATCAATTGATAGGAATGACGAAAACCATTAGCTCTAATAGCACAAAACTTTCCCTCTTCGTGAGGGGTGCGTCACAAGTTCAATTGATTAATAGAAATTTACTACCTCTGGCCCTTAATATAAGACTCCATTTGATTTTTTATGTTGATCCTAAATACAAGACCCCAATCTATTTTGTCTATCATATTTACTCAATTTTTTCTAAGATAGTCCTTCTAATATTATAGTTTTAATCAACATACTTAATTAGTAAAGATATTTTAGGAAAAACAACACATATTTATTATAAATAACTAACTTAACTTCTTTTCTTAATTTCCTCAAATTAGTCAATTGGCTCTTATAATTAGGACTGGAGGTGTATTTAAAATAAATTACTTTTTGGGTGTCAAAAGCGTAAGGAAAAGCGGTAAAGAGAGTGTGGAAAATAGGAAGCACATTCCATGCTTATTTGTGAGCATTTTATGTTCACATTTTAATTTGAACTATTCAAGTTAATTTTGAATAGTTCATATTTAATTTAAAAATTTTATATTTTAAATATATTTTTATTTTAGTAATATATAATTCAAAATAAAAATGACATTATAACTGTTCCTTCTTGAGAAAATAAATCTATTATTAGAAATTAAAAAATTTTAAATTAAACTGTCTAAATTAGATTTTTAGTAATCCTTCAAATTTCATGGCAGCAATGAATACATGCACGCAATTATATGCTCAATACTGTAATAAAAGGGTTGTGGCTTGTTTTGTGCTTGGGGAATGAATAGTATAATTAATATTGAGAGCGAATCTTAAAAGGAAAAAAAAAAAAAACAAATGGTGGGTTGGCTCTAGTGAGGCATGTGCAAGTGGGCAACTTGGCTTTTTATTAATTTAATTTAATCCACAAAACCACGACCTACCCTTCTAAAATAAAAATCTATGAGCCCAACGTGTCCAGATCTAAAGTAATAGTAGTAGTTTTATTATTGTGATTAATATTTATTCCTGTGATCTGGCCAAAAAAAAAAATAACATTTATTCCTGTGCAGTACTAATTAATATGAGAATCAAAATTTTTGAAGAGTTTGGGAGACATGCGTCAGAAAGCAAGGCTGGAATCGTGGCTGGTCACGGCCAAAACAGGTAAAAGTCAATCATAAATGAACATGGCACAAACATATTAACTACCCCTAATTTTCTGAGAAAAAATCTCAAAAAAACAACAAATGTGTGTTTGGACACACACACGTCTCAATGGCCTGTTTGGTTATAGAACTATTGGAACTTTAATAACTGGCAATAGAATGTAATATAATGGAGATTACGTGAGTTTGTTTCAAATTACATTTAAAGTCTTAAGCAGGTGCCGCAATTAATTATAATAATAAAAAATTGGCCATCAAGTAAAACATGTTACTGAGAGTAGCAATAATGTCAAAAGTCTTGGAATAAAATGCAGCGTTATCCAGCGGCCATTTGTACCTTGAATTCCAAATCCAGCTCCATGAACTATTTTTTGGCCATAGAGTACTTCAATTCTTAAATTCTTTTTTTTGGTGCCAAAACTTCAATTCTTAAATTCAAAATTGTGCATCTTACATGTGATTTTTTTCCTTTTTCTTTTAATATGATAATTTTGGCCCGCAAATGCCAGGGTGTCTGATGTTGCCCAATTCTTTCGTGTTGAATCAGGCTGAAAATAGGAAAAAGAGAAACATGACAGACAAAAGTCTACAGGCTGATTATTTGGTTAATTCATATATTTAGGGATGAATTAATGAATTAATACTTCTCCTGTCTTAAATGTTAGACCCATCTTATAATGTAAATTACAAGTTTTACATTTAGGACAGGAATGAGTACTATTTTATTATATCATATCATCATCACATTCAATAATTTTTTTACATAATTAGGTGAACAGATAATTTTTTAATTTCCCATATTCTAATTTTTGTCTTTCCAACTCTACCGAAAATCCTATTTTTCCTCACTAAGAACCTAACATAGCTACTAGTTTGAATTTGATTCATATAGATTTTTTTGTGTAATAAAGGCAAAAAGAAACATGTGGTCTGATTTTTTATTTTTGATAATAGATGTTGCTCTAGGATCTACAAAAATCAAATTATCAATAGGCTTTTGAAAAACAGTTAAAACTGGGTCCTAAAATTACTCCATTGAGAAAAACATATAATTCTGGTATAAGTAACTTTCATTAGGTCATTTGTAGCACTAATAATACTATAATAGACTCGAATTAGAGAGTGAATTCGTAGTTTTAAGTCTGTTTTAAGTCATAGTGCAAGACTAGTTTGATTCACATTTATTCACTATATTTGCAACTATATGAACTTGCCAATTCATGTGAAATGTGGTCTGCATTTTTAAAAATGGGAAAAGGGTGAATTAAAAAGGTTCAAATGAAACTTTTTACTTCAGAAAATCAATTTAGATTATTCGTTTCTGGAATTAATGTATATAACCATTCTCTCTTAGTTGTAAATTTGATTGAAAAGCAACTTCAAATGATTAATACAAAACAACAATGAAGATAATAACAATAGCTCTTTTTCTTTCGTTTTCCCTTTCTTGGACGGCAAGTTCCAAAAGATAACTTGAATGGTGGAAGTCTTTGAAAGTGCCAGCAAATCACGAGATATATAACAACCTCTTTGAAACTTTAATCCTTTCAGAGGCAAATGAAAGGGACAAATGGCATTTTTGTGTGAATATGAATGAAAGGATTTCAAATGAATTTTGCAAATTAAAACTATGGTAAAGGTCTCAGTTGAGCCTTTGAGTAAATTTAGTTAAGTATTTAAAAATCATTTTAGCTTTATGTAAAAGATTCCTCCTTTTCTTTTATTGTCTTTTCTTTCTCTTTTAGCAATAGCAACCTAGTTTTCATTTTTTTTTATCTTTTCCCAAAGCAGCGCTGTTAATAATAAACGTTACACCAAATCCCACCTGTGTAATTTTGTTTAATTTTAAGTAACAAATAATTTTTCATACTAAATATTTTTAAATAATTTTTTGCGATTTTAATTATAATATTTACCTTTTATATTCTTAATGTTTTATATCAAATACTTATCCGTTCCTAAATATAAGATTCTTTTTATAATTTAAAATTTAGACTATAAAAAAAATTTTATATTTAAAACCGGAGAAATAGAAGCGTAGTGTTTATGGGATTCCATTTGTAGAGGCCCTGAAGAGTTCAAGAACCATCCAGACTCATCTTGAAATTATTACCCAACAACTACGAGCCATTCCATGATCCCACCTTTTTCTTTCATATATCTCAAAAGAATCGGACGTATGTGGTATAACATTAATTAATAATTAATATATAAGTGGGTACTCGTGTATGTGTCAAACTAGGTACGCGATTGTAACCAGAGCGTTGAAAGTAATTCATGCGAATTTGACAAGATATTTATTGACGGGCAATTTTTTTTTTTTTGGTTTTGTTTTATTGGATTCATAAAATGGATTAATTTATGAATTACTTCGTCTGCGCTCTCCCTTATTTTCCCCCTCTCAACGGTAGTAAATTAATAATTAATAAGAATGGATGGAATCAAAATTGGCCTCAGAATTCTGTTAATAGTTTAGAACAATTGATAAAAATGAATTGGAGTTCCGGTCAAAAAGAAAAAAATAATTGGAGTTGGTCAAAAGTCAAAACCATAAGGAAAGGTGGTAAAGGGAAGGCTGAAAAATGAAAACAAGGGTGGGCCGTCGCTTGTTTTGTGCTTTCCGGAATGAATAATATCTTCAAAGTCCATCTCAAAAGATAATAGTAGTAGGTAATATAATATCTCATTTAATTTTTATTTTGATCCTAAATATAAAAACTCAATTTACTTTATTTTTTATATTTATCTATTTTTTTTAAAAAATAATCTTTATAATAATAGTAGTTATAGCTCATATACTTGGTTAGGAAAGATATTTGAGAAAAAATAATACTTATTTATTAGAAATAACTAACTTAATTATTTTTTTAATTTATTCAAATTAATTAATTACTCCTCTGATTCTTAATAGAAGACCCATTTGATTAATTTGATTAGATTAAGGAAGTTAGGTAAATTAGTTAATTATAAAAAAATAACACATTTTTTCTAAAACACCATAATTATCTTTTTTAATATCCTCTCCCTTTCTTCTACTTGATTATGATTGAGAAAATTGATAAATATGATAAATCAATCTTATATTTAAAACTAAAACTAACTTAAGAATTAAGTCTTATGTTAAAAACCCGAAGAGCAGTTCTTATATTAAGTATCAGAAATAGTAATAACAGCAACAAAGAGGGAGCGAAAAGCTGTGGCACGTGCAACTTCGCTTGGAGAGAATTCCTGCCTTGGGCTTTTATTAATTAACAAAGCCACGTCTTAGCCTCCTACAATGAGCCAAACGCGTCCACTAAAAAGAGATCAGAATCAGAATCGAATGGAAGACAAGAAAAAGTCTGTTGGTTTTTGAAGAGAGTTTTTGGAGGACACGCGTCAGAAGGCAAGGCTGGAACTGTGGCTTGTGAAGGTCAACAAGCTGACCTTCATATCATCCATACTTTGAAATGGAGACACTCTTAGCATAAGTGATATCAAATTTTTTTTTAATCTTAACAGGCAAAAATTAATCATTGATCAACATTCAAAGTATCTTTTTTCCCCAAAAATAAAATCATATATATTGTCGGTTTAGCCCCTTTAAATTACTATTTCCCGTTTCAAATTAACTTAATTTTCCAATACATAATCTAAGCATTTCCCTTTCTTGGCCCCAGAAAAACTCCCGCTAAAATATCTTCATCTGCGCGACACAGTTTTGCTTTTTTGTACTAATAAATCAGACAGTCCTCTGAAAAAAGATAAAGAAAAATTGAAGACAATGCTCAATGATCTTTAATTAAAAACCTATTCATGGACTTTGTTAGTATTACGCGATCTATATATCCGACCACACCAAGAATAACATAGCTTTTGCTCTCTGTTTTTTTTTTTTTTAAAGGAGTTTTCATTACTAAGTTTTTCTATTTGAAGAAACACTTTCCTCAGCTTGACAAGATTAGCCCAAGTATATGAAGAAACCCAGCTGCAATTTTCATGTCTATATAAGGTTAATAAATTATGCTTTTATGCAATTCAACATCATATGATGATTTTTTTAAAAGAGGGAGAGAAAAAAAAAAAAAGAATGCTCTGAAATCTCAGAAAAAATTCTGTAAAATCTTTTGTTTTAACTTGCTGAAGAACATCTTTTGTGTCCCAAAACTGCCCCTGCGAGGAAGATCCAGAAATACCTCCACACATGAGGATAAGAAAGGATCAACATAGTGATACTATAGCATATAACTCAACTGAATATGTACATGACATCGTAACACTGCAAAAATCAGTGTCATTGCCCAAAGCTCTACATGAGTACAGGCTTCTCTCTTGTTTCCCTGAACGGTATATCTCCATTTAGAACTGAGCTGACGAAATTCTCGACTTCCTCCATCGTCATTTCACCGAGAAATGAAGTGAACTTCCTTCTTTTAGGTTTGTAGGCAATCAAGAACGTATTTGATGACTTAAATCCAGTTTTATCAAATGCTTTAAGAAAAGAAGGTTGCTTTGTGGCATCCAAAAGGGCATAGGAAATGGAATCCTTGAAGCCTGATGCTTGATTTGATTGCCTTGAGAAAGATTTTTGAGAGACCTGAAATTACAAACATGCAAATTCTGATTAAAAGATTTGGTGGAATAGAGGATTATACATAGAGAGAACAAAATTACAGAACAACATTAACAAGCTTCAGGTGGTGCTCCCTCTGGATGCTGTTAAAAAGTCAGAACTATAACCTCTTGCCTTGTTCTCCAAATTCCTAATTTAATTTAAGGTTCAAATGTATTAACCTTTCCTAATTTTCAACCTTAAATTTCAAATCTCAGTAACCTATGTAATTACCTTTGATTCAAATCAAGTCAATATGAAAAAGAGTTGAGAGCAGTCATCTATTGATAAAGCAATCAAATTAGAAAATCCCTTTGTTAACTAACCCGATGTCTTACAGTTTCACTCCCACCCTTAACCTCCCAGTCCACTTCTCAAGGACAAGAAAAGAAGGAAATGACGAGAAAACCCCAAGAAGAAAAGAATTATCTTTTGTTGCTTTTGAAAATATGTTTATCTTCTGATAGGTTTCCTTGATTAAACTGATTCATTACTGAAGTGTATATATTGCCCAAATCAAACATCTTAGTTGTCTGTGTATTGCTGTTAACAAACATTGAACTAAGAAATTCAGTGTAATATATAATTTGTTCCTCTTGGTCAAAAAATAATTATAGCCTTAGAAACCATGATTAAATGAAAGATACACTTACCAAAGAGAGGATTGTTTGCAGCTTTTCTCTGGCTTTAGAGGATCTAAAGGAACCAATTATGCAGACTGGGGTTCTCTCGCCACAAAGAACATCAAAGTTTGATCGAGAAAGGAATTGTATCTGACTCTCATCCGAATCAGTGGATGCTTTTTTGGCCTGTCTTGATCCTGCCTTTTTGCTTATTTTTTCAAAACTATCAAGTATATTACTGAGATCATGAACTGCAGATTTTATATCTTTTACGGAAATCCCTGTTTTCAAATTCTGCTTCTCTCCATTAGGGAGCCAACCTACTATAGCCGGGAGCGCATCAACTCCCAGCTTTTTCACTCTTGGATCGGAAACATCATGAACCTGCACATATCAGCCAAAACATTAGATCTCTCTTCAAAACAAAAAGAAACAAGAAGCATCGTTTTGCATATAAATTGTTCAATTTTGTCATATCATTTTAGAAAAGTGATCATCATATATATATTTATTAAGATCAATCAGCCTTCCACAAAAATTCTTAAATTGGATCCCCTTCACCTTGCAAGCAGTAGTTGAAACAAAATGTCTGCATACGATTTACTGAGAGTTTTCTGGCCTCTTCCTACTCGCTCAATAGAATTAAATAAAGCAGGACAAAGGGCAAGACCAAACACTACGGGGCAAAATATAGAAACATATAAGAGAGTTTCAAGGCCAGCATTAACATACCTGGACATCACTGAAAGTAAAGCGCTTGTGATACAGACCACTAAGAACACGCCAGATTACAGGAGTATCTTTCTTAGCAGACAGAAGCATCACCCCAGGCAACTTTGCAGAAGTTAAAAATTCATCAAGAGAATTCAAGTCAGCTCGCTTTGAAAACCTTGGCAGGTGGTCTTGACAGAAAGCCTTTAAATTCTTGGCAACCAAGTCACCACTGTATTCTATCAAAGAACCCTTTTCATTTCCCTTGTAAGAATAAACAAAAACCCTTGGAAATCTTCGGGGATATGTGCCAAGCTGCTGACAGAAAGAGGCCTCCTTTCCACAATCAATACTTCCAACCTGTCACATAAAAGAGAAATAAGCCATGAAACTCCAAACAATTATCAAAATAGAAAACAAGAGATAATAATGAATAAACCTTTATAGCTCCTTGCAGTGAACTGTTGACATCCTCTATAATGGATTCAAAGTGTTCGAGCCCCTTCAATGAGGGTGTATACGATAACAAAAGCCAAGTCATGCCTTGATCAACTATTTCCTTTTTGAAGATTTGGGAATTTATGGTTCTAAAACTTTTACCGGAACTCTTAGCTCCAGATTGAGAACCAGTTGAACCGCCAAAACCGCCAAAACCACCAAACTGATTCCCACCACCACGTCCTCCACCACCAAAAAAACTACCAAAAAGGTCATCCAAACCAAATCCAAAAGAACTAGGACCACCAGACCCGCCAAAGGAGAAGGAGAATGACTGAGAACCTCCCTGCCCACCCATATCCTGCCATTGTCCGGGTCTGAAGTTAAACTGACTTTGTCCTGGTCCACCACCTGTGAAATAAGTATATCCACCCTGATCCCCAGGATGACCAGCTCCAAATCCAGGATTGCCTTTCTCATCACCGTACATGTCATAATTCTTCCTTTTCTCTTCATCTGACAAAATCTCATATGCTGTCAAAGGAAGAGGGAAAAAGAGGCAAGCACGTGAGCATCTCAAATAAGAAATAAAATGAAGCTAGGCATTCAAAATATCATGTAACGGGAAGCAGCGGGTGTATTTGTGCACATGGGCCAGAGGAAGAGAGCAATTTTATTTACCATTATTGATCTGAGAAAACTTCTCCTGTGCACCCTTGTTTTTGTTCTTGTCCGGGTGATATTGGAGAGAGAGCCTACATAACAAGATAAGAGCAATCAACAAAAAAGGCTTGTCTGGTCAATGATATCCATTTGCCATTTTAACGGCAAAACCTCCACATTAAAATTCTTTCCAACATTAAACTAAATCCAGCTTATTTTGGCTGATACTAAACGCAGTGAGCTATACAGATTTAAGATAACATCACTTTAAAAACACATATTAAACATCCACCTGTATTGATGACAATCATAACAACAGTACCGATTTAAATAAGCACTATGAAATATCCTATTCTTCTCCAAGTTTCTTTTTGTGCACTAAAGTAAGCACGTATTAATATTTTGCATGCTTTCTGATGACTCAATCTTTTGGGTTGGTATATCGATGAAGGTATCCATATTACACCACTATTTCTATTTTAAAGAAAGCCTGCTTGTATTTGCAGCAATATGAAAGACGGTAACATTTTCATATATGAGCTTTTAGAAAACACTCATCAATGAAGCACAATCAATTGCAGAAATATAAGGAGAGTCTTGCTTGTGACAACAAACAATAATTTAGAAGACATACTTGTGGAAAGCCTTCTGAATTTCCCGTTGACTTGCATTTTTATCAACCCCAAGGACCTGGTAAAACCAAATATGTGCAATTTAGTATATACTCTTGTACAACAATAATTAAATAAGAATTCATAACAAGGAAAAAAAAAAACAGTAATTAAAATGCGAGACTATGTTGCCATCTTGCCTGATGATTACTTAAAAAAAAAAAAAAAGAATTTATAAGAGAATCCTTAACCGAAAACCTAACTCTTAGAGTATGCTTAGCAGTGGTTTTTGGTTGAGATGAAAATCATGTTCGGGCAAAATATAATTTCTTTTCCTTAACAAATTAAACGCCACATTAATATGCATTATTCAAAAGACCTAAACCTGGTCATGCAAAAGAGCTATTTACATAAAACTAAGCTAGAATTTCCAAGTAAAGACTACTCAAAATTAACCCATTAAAACTGTTTATCTCAGTCAAGCTCACCGCAAGCCGACTTTAAGAACGCGTATCCATCAATCATGCTACTATAAGAACACATGTTCACCACCTTGCCAATTATCCTTAGACATTCAAACAATAAACCCCAAATTCGACAGCTTTCCACCGCTCAAAATCTAGAATTCACAATCCCCAATCGGGATCAAGCCTCATTACTAAACCGTGATCATTCCGTCATCATTATACCGATGTCGACTTCTCCAATCACTTCATCGACGGTAGCATAGTATTCTGCTCCAAGACAACAAGCACTTACCTTGTAAGGATCGATAGTTTTCGCGTCCAAGCTTGCATGAAAACCCATAAAGGTCATAAAGATTATCCATAAACATAAATGCCGGCTCTTCATACTCGAACCAAAGTTTCGCTAATAAGATACTGTTGTCCGAAGAGTGTGAAATTTGAACGAGAGAATTGGATTTGGGTACCGGAAAGATTTTTTTTGTTTTTTTCCGCCTGAAGAAGAGAAACGAATATTGAGGTTCGATAAATAGGTTCGCCGTTCGCGGGACCTGCAAATCCAGATGCTTCGAGGTTAAGGCCGTTAAATACACGTGGCAACTTATGGTGCCAACACGCATATTGACCAATCAGATTTTAGGAATTGTCTGATTGGGAGGTAGCGCGCGCGTCGGGGAACATCATGGAACGGCTGCATTAAGTTCCTTTTTTTTTTTTTGGGATAGAGAAAGTGAAGGTTTTTTTTTTAATAGAGAAAGGGCCGTAAGCCCAAAACATCAAAGTAAAGACATGATCACAACAAAACTCAAAAACTTAGCCCGCCTCCCTCCAAGTCCATGCCTGTCTGTCAAACTCGAAAGCTTCGGCCACTTCTCCAGGCATGTCGGGATCCATTCATCATCACCAATATATTGAAATCAAAGCCTAGGGGGATATATTAAGAGAAATTGAGTCTTGCAGAAAAGATTAGTTTTTCACAATTTGATAAATCAAAATTCAAGTCCTCGTTAAAAGAGGTGCCCACATTTAATACCCGATAGTGTTTTGAATAGAATTGCCTCCAATAAGAGAATACCTGTGCTTTAGCCCAAAAAAAAATTAGCGGGGATATCCTTGTAAATTTACATTACATTATATTGTTTTATAGTTAGTCGTAATTATCCTATTTATAGCAAAATATATAAAAGATATATAATTTCTTATAATGAACAATTATTTTATGATGATAATTTGAGCACGTCGCGTAAAGGGATGATTTTTGTCATAAGTGTTTTTAAACATTCTAATCAATTACTTTTTATCTATATATGAGTTAATCAAAATTAATTATTTTTCTAAAATTTTGAAAATTGTTTTTGATAAAATTTAATGATTAGAAGAGTTAGGTTAATTAATTGAATTTTTTATAATTAGTTAAAAATTAATATTTTAAACAAAAAGATATTTTGTTAAAAAATATTTAACGAGTTCTTTTTATTTCTTATTGCAAAACTGATAAAAAGTCCTCTTCATTGGAATGATAGGAAAGAGAACGTTATTCTAAGGTTATGTTTGGTAGGCAGGTTTGAATTTGGGTGGACTGGGAATGGGATTGGCAATGGGATTGGGAGTGGGATTGGAATTGGGATTGTGGCTTTAAAATTATGTTTGGTAAGGAGTAATAATGTTTACATTAATTTTATTTTATAACCAGTCATTAATTATGAAAAGGCAACAATACCCCTTCATATTAATTTTTTAGAAAAGAAAGTCTGCAATTGCTTTGCCTTTGCCGTTGATCTTCACCGCATTCCCTGATTGATTCAGTGCAAAACCAATAACAAATCTATCAGCAACCTTTTGATGATGCAGTCGAATCCTTGAGATCTAGATACAAGATCATTAACTTGTATGAGATCATATTTAAAAAAACAAAGGAGTTTCCAATGATGATTTAACTCTGCATCTTTCGTCGTTCCTTCTTCATCTTCGTATCTTTTACCCGCTTCAACCTCTGCCTCTGCTTCAACTCTATCATTTAGGTTCAGATTTACATCTTCATCTTTTGCTGCTAGGTCTAGTCCATTGCTATGCACTCAAGATCTGAAGCAGAGGCAGATTTAACGAAGAAGGACGAAGACTTGTCAAACCATTGCCGAGGGTTCCAAGAAGGAAGACGGAGATCTGGAGATAGAGATAAGTCGCCGTCGTAGCATCCTCAATTTTGCCTCTTTCCAGCATCATCACCGTCGCAAGAATTAAAGGGGAGGGCGACGCCGACATAGTTGTGTATGGGAGTTTCAAAAGTAGAGGCAAAAGCATAGTGATGGCAAAATGAGAGGAAGGGGGGCGGGTGAGGGGTAATCTGGTCCAAAAATGTTCACTCCTGGGATTGATTTTTCAATACCAGGGGGGCTGGCAGCACTGGCTAATCCCACAAAAAGTGGTATTGAGCAATCCTGGGATTGCTGAAGTCTATGTACCAAACATGACAAACTGAGCAATACCAATACCAATCCCTGTGCCAATCCTCCCATTCCCTTGTACCAAACAGGGCCTAACAGTAATATTTCTATGGCTTTACCAGTGTTCAATGAAACTATTGGCCACCAATGGTCTAATGCTAGAACTCTCTTTCAAGTTTTATCATAGGGGAGTGAGTGAGTGTGTCTCTCCCCTACAGGGTACACTACGAGTAGGGGTGTGTCTTCCCTCACCTATGGAAAGGGCACGTTTAAATAAATTATCCCTGTCAAAAAAAAAAAAGGTTGAATCATACCATGTTAATTCTCATAATGTTAAATAACTGTATGTATAGAAATAAGTTTAATCATATCATGTTATGTTAAATACTCTTCCGATCTTAAATATAAAACCCTTTTTGTAATGTAATTTACATTACAAAAAAAAATCTTATATTTAAAATCAAAAGGATATCATATAAGTATAATAGATATATGTATAAACATCATGTTATGTTAAATATCAAATATGTACAATAGATATAAGTTTAATCATATCATGTTAATTCATAAAACTTGTCCTCCATGACGCATTTCGAAACCCAGTTACAAAGTACTAAATAACCAAGTTTTTGTTTGTTTGTTTTTTTTTTTTTTTTGGGTTATTGAAACAAACAGAATTGCTCGGATGCCGAGCATTTCTCCTGATTATATATATTTGAGGCCTAAAATAAATAAATTCAGGGCAACCGAGGTTACAGTTATTGTTCTCTTTCACATTACTATTCAGTAACCATTGCCTTGAGCTTCTCGTTTTGTTGATTATGAGGTCCCTTGATAAGCTTAGCTGGGTTTCCATAATGCATTCATATCAGAAACTATTTTCAGCTTCAAAGACCTATCAAAGTATTTTTCCAACACCATGCAGTTAATCAGCGTGCTCAAGCGCGCATGGCATTTGGGTCAACGAATGAACAACTGAATTGTGCATAAAGAAGTTAACATCAGAATCGATGTCTAAACTCTGAACACTATTACTAAACTCAAATCCAAACAAATACAATTTGGTGAACAATGTACCAAAATTGAGAGGTCATGTGGGAGAGGAAAGAAGGAAAGGAAGAGACTCAATCTTGAGACTCCGCACCATTTATTGCCTCCATGGACTCACCTGCCGGCTCATCTGCCTTGTCACCTTTTTTACCTGCAACCAATTAGCTAAGCAATGTTATTATTCTATTCATATTGATTAGGCAAATGATGAATCTCAGCATGAAGATTCAAGCTTCCAGTCTACCTTTCTTTTTCTTTCCACCGCCTTTCTTCTTTGTTTTTGTGCCCAAGGCTAGCCATGCCTTGATTTCAGGATCATCTATTGTCTTTGTGGGCTGCAATTCCTGGAGAGGATGAGAGGTGATACGATCCGATCCATTGGGCATCAGTAAGACTGTGAATTTGATGTGTGCAACAAAATCACCTGAAAATAGTGTGATATTGTGCAATATTAGCAAGCAACACAGAATTCCAATACTTATTGGGATCTAATCATTCAACTGGCAATTTTACCAGGCTTTTCATGAAGAACAGGATACGGCTGCAAGAGTTCGTGGTTCATACATTCCACCAATCCCAATCGAGCTCTTTTCTCTTCCAAAGCCCTAGCATATGGTAAATAATGTTAAGTGGTGTGAAAGAAATAGATTTAAAATGCAAAAATTTGAACAGGATAATGAAAACATTATTACCTGGCAGTGAACGGCATAATTGGAAATTTTTGGCTTATTTCACTGAAAATGAACCTAGATGCTTTCATCTTCAAGTGATAATTCTTGTCAACAGCCCTCTTATAGATAGTTGTCTGCTTCTCATCCAGCAGCTTAGGCTGCAAGTGACGTGCGTAAGCTATTCATAAGAGCTGCAGCATTATGCTGTCAAATGAATTAGTAAAAATTTCATACCTTGCCTTCTCCAGTGCTAGCTGCTATATCAATAGCATAAACTTCATTCTCTTCAAACTCTGCATCATCGACCCTTGTTTCTGGATTAGACACACTCAGCACAACCTTATTCCCGTCTATAACAAACTGCTTCATTTGGTGGCTAAGAACACCTTCAACAATTTTACAATCATAAGCAGCAGCAACCTTCTGAATTGCATCAGTCACATCCTTGTTCTGTCAGGCAAAAAGACATTGATTAACAACTCCATCATGAACTGCTGTATCGTTACACTAAGCACAATAATTACTATTAGACAGCTTTTCACAAAAAGAGTATAGGTTGAACAAGTGGGAGAGTAATGGCATACTGCAAGCATCAAGTCATTTGATTATGAAATTGAATATCCATATAGCACAGTAGCTACCATAGACAGATGTACTGACAATATGTGTCAGCACAACCATGACATTTTTTAGCCAGTTTCCATTCAAGCAACAGGGAAAGGAGAAAGCTAAAGTGATATCAATTATCACAGCCAATTTGCCATTATTAAAGCTTTAACACATTATATTTATCTTAAATTACATTTAACAACTAGACAATGAAATTCTAAGTTCAAACTATTTTCTTCACACAATTTAAGGGTATTAGTTTGATTGTTATAGCATATTGGCTCCAAGAAACAAGGGTACTGACAATTGACAAGTCAGGACAACCATAAATTTGATTCATCAGCCAAATTTGATCTAGGCAACAGGGAAAGGAGGAAACCAATATTGCATTGAAAACCTCGGCAAAGTTGCCATTTAAACTTTTATGATAAAATGCCATATACATTTTGAACATGCACCAGTGAAACCACAAAAGCTGCAACTTATTTCTAAATTAACACAAAACAAATGCCACAAGCAAATCTTCTAGTATTGTGCAGTGTAAGGTGTTGGCTGCAAGAAGCAATGATACTGACAATAGACAAATCAGCAAAATCATGAAACAAAATTTGTTCAGCCAATTACAATTTAGGCAACAGGGAAAGGAGGAAACCAATATGGCATCGATAACCTCGGCAAAGTTGCCACTAATAAAACATTTATTCAACTAAAAGTTCACCATTTTAAACCACAAGAGTTGCTACTCAGTCTAAATTAAAACAACTCAAATTCCATGTGTAAATCATTATATATAGAATTGTCTAGTGTAAGATGTTGGCTGCAATAAGCAGTTATACTGATAAAAGACAAATCAGCAGAACCACAAAACTAAATTTTTTTTAGCCATTTATAATTTAGGCAACAGGGAAAGGAGGAAACCAATATGGTATTGATAGCCTCGGCAAAGTTGCCATCAATGAAACATATCCTTGCAATTAAAGGTACACTGTTTTGAAGTTTGTACTGCAAAAGCTGCAAATTTATTCTAGAATTAATGAAATTGATACACAGACAAACATATAAAGGTAAATCATATCTACAACAAATTCTATCATTTTTGCAACGAGAAAAAGACACTGAATTTGCAACTCTTTTTAACTACCCAAGAAACATAAATATGGAGAAGTGCATCAATCAAAAGCCAACAACTGAGCATCTAAACAAAGGATTGCATCGGGCATAACAGATACCCTATCAGAGTAACTATGACATAAGCCGCACTTGGACAATGTCCATAGCTTTTTAGGAGATGTTCATCATATAGGGTCAAAAAGTAATGTTTAGAAGCTTCTAATTCTGTGCGCTCATATTTATAAAAATTGAGCTTATCTCCATAGGCCATGAAACTCAGATAAAAAAAGGCATGGAGCACAGAGTACATTTACCAGACCCCCAAAAAAAAAAAAAAAAAAACCCAACATGATATAACTAAAAACTTGAATAAATTGATTTTCCCCACAGGCTGCCTCTGCGCGCTCATATTTATAAGCATTGAGCTTATCTCCATCGGCCATGAAACTAATAGATAAAAACAGGCATGGAGCACAGAGTACACTTGATAGATAAATAAAACTACCAATGAAATATTGATTTTCCCCACAGCCTGCCAAATGCAAGCAAAATCAAAGCAAATACTTCATGAATTTGAAGAATTCATCATAAAGGAATCCTAAGTGGTGGAGGAAAAACCAGGATGACCTCTATCAGTGTAACTATGACAATGAAGCTTCATAGGAGTTTATCCATAGCTCAAGGTAGTTTTTTCATCATTTAGAGATCAAACACTATAGAAAGAACAAGGAGGAAAACTATATCCAGATAATACACATGGAATGACCGATAGCTAATATTTACAGACAGGAGAGATGGCGGAACAGAGAGAACAGCGTCATAATATTTACAAATACAGTTGCAAGATAAAAGATCGGATACATAATTACCTTTTTCCCTGGTCTTACAAGCCTCAAGGCCACTTCAGCAGCAGTATTAGCAGCTGCAATGGCATCAGCTGCCCTTCCTGTAACCGGCCCTTCCTGAAGAACAAACGTATGTGCCACAACAGCAATAAACCCATCTATATGGCACCCCATGTCGCTACGTTCAACCAAAGAAACCATTAAGATAGAAATAGCAAAAGCTTCGCCCATTCCTTCAATTTTGATAAGAGAAATATGCCTTGGAGTCTTACATTTTCACCATATCACCTTCTTCCAACACTGTCTCATCACTGGCGAGGGGTGAGAAATGACAGACTGTATTGTTCACAGATATGCAAGTTGGGAACGCAACGCCTTTCTCAATCTTCCTCTTCACGTTCTTGTACATGTTACCAGTTTGCCTTCATAAAAAAGGGGGCACATCCCATAAGCTAAAAATCATAGAAAACAAATATAAAGATTATACATTTAGAGACAAATCCAACACTATGTATGCTGCAATATCCAACGGGACGAGCAATAAAAACTTACTCTCTAATGAATGCATCCCCCTTCTCGCATAAGTCTACAATCTTGACCTTCGGCTTACATTCTGAAACAACTAGTTGCAAAGCCTCTGCAAAGTGTACCCGTCAGTTATCAGTATCAATTTTTTCCAGGAAACAAAAATACACGGAACCGACTGCGAAGCTGCATTTTTGCTTAAACAGGTAAACAAAAACAAAATTAGCCCGTGAAGATGGAGAATAGAAACAGAGAATGAGGAACACACTGTTGACGATCTCAGCCGCGCTCTTGTATTTGGTGACGACTTCAGAAGAAGAGAGATCCAGCTCCTTCTCCTCCCTTTCATCGTCCGACATGGTATCTCAAATATTGAATCCCTGCAACTTCAGAAAACAAGGAAAAGAGGGGGAAAATCAATCTTTTATCTCGTTGGAATCAGAATCAGGCTACAATAAAAACAAAGACCAATGAAAGCAGGTGAAATGAGGTTTGCAGTGTGAGTCACCTTACAGAGTTAGATTGACGGCGATGTTTATCCTAGTTATTGAGTGAGGAAGGAAGGGTGCAAGCAAAGTTGAAAAAAGAGGGAAAGCCGAGAAATTGGTGGCTCGCTCCAACTAGGGTTACAAGTGACTACAGAGCCAACGTTGGCTTATATAGAATTCATCCTTCGAACGCCCAAGAGCTTATCTCAACTCTTTTTTGAAAAAAGTCAACAATTTTTAACACTTCCCCCTCTAGTGCGCTCCCCCCGGCCTCACCACCAGCCACCAGAGTCCAGAACCAGGTTGGATCATAAGCAGAATATTTGGACATTTCTGTCCTTACCCCATACGTACGAATAATGATCTTGGAAGTTGCATAGAATTTCTGGATTTTCTGTAAATCAATAATTATGTATGAGTATCAATTATAAATATGTGTGTGCACATGTTGATTGACAAAAGTATGGAAAATGATCACTTGCCTGTTGATAAGAAAATATGTCCGTTGGTCACTAATGAAATATACAATTCAAGACATATTATTATTACGGCAAAAAAAAAATCCAGGCATATCACTTATTAGTACTAGGAATCCTAAAAATTAAAATTTATATTCACATGTGAAAATAAGTTATAATTGATAATTTAAAAAAAAATTATTTATCTTTTGTAAAATTAAATTGTGATCCTTCCCATATAACTTGATGTTTTCAGTCATTGCCATCTGAAAAAAACTCCAGCAACATTTGAAACAAATTATATCATAATTATGAGGGGAAAACCATATTGGAGGTACCTATACTTTTTTTCAATTTTCAATTTGGTACCTATGTGTTTTTTGTTCTTAACTAAATCTTTATTTTTCCTCTATTAACATCATTAATCCTTATGTAGAGACTAAAAATATCAATAGAACAAAGTTATAAGAGCTAATATTGCTAAAAAAATAAAATTAAATGTTTAATTAAAGGGAAAAAAACACATAGGTACCAAATTAAAAATTGAGAGAAAGTATAGGTACCTTCAATATGGTTTTTCCTAATTATGAGGATTAGGATTTACAAACAATAAGGGATGATTTAGATGGAAATTAAACCATAATTTTAAAAATAATCTTACGGTATATGAAATTAATATGTGAGAAAAATTTTGTGTCGACTCGTGTGAAAATATTTTTTAAAAATATTTTTTACCCAAACCAAACACCCCCTACACATATAATGTACTTTCTGAGGACTGAATTTTATTATTCTTACAAGATTTACATTTAAAGTTTTTGCTTGTGAGGCCAACGTAGCGATTTAATTCATTTCATGACCAAGAAAATTTCAAATCCAAATTTAAGATTTTTGGTCCACATGTGCCCAGACGTGTTGGGGACTTTTCAATTTTGATTTTTGAGGCCTCAACCAAAATTGTAAATGGGCTTAGGGTGTATCCGGGGGGAAAATCTCCTTGAAATATGTGAATCCCAGAAGCATGACCCGAAATGTTGTGTTCTCACTGCAATATCTACTTTTTTTTCTTAAATTCGTGACAGAGGCATGAGGAAGAAGGCCTACTCTATGATTTGCAAATACTAAGATTTGCCGCAAAATTTTCTTAAGTTTGGTTCAACACATGTAGAGTTCACAAAGTCAAGATAAATACGTGTCCATTTCTTTTCTGTTTTTTTGGTGAACACCTTGTCCATTTCTCTTTCTAATTCAAACCTGCACATAAAATGCCACTTCTTAGTATAAAGTTTGGGTTAATATAATTTTAAGTTATTTAAATTTGTCTTTATTTTTTTAATAACACCTTCATTTTGTTATTAATCTCTCAAGTTTCAAATTATAAGTTTTAGTCTTAAAGGTAAAATAATCTAAGTTTTTATTAAATTATAAGACGGGATAAAAAGAAATTTGAGAGGATCAAAATTAAAATGAAAATAATTTTAACAGACCAAATATTATATTAACTTATAAAATTATCCGTGTTGTGTACTTTTAGACTGTAGCACTGGTTCTTTTCCAGTCATGCCTCAGCAACATGACTTGGGGAATTAATGTAACCAAAACCGGAAAAAGTTAACGATGTTGGAGAATACAAATCCCACATTCAAAAGTAATAAGAGATATAAAATATTAAAATGCGTATAAGCTTTTAATCATCCCAATCGATCAAGACACACAAACTTGTTCCAGTGACATGGAAAAGCCCAAGAAAAGACGGTACCAAATTAGAGTCAATGAACAACAACAACGACAACAGTGAATAGAAAGCCACAAAGCCCACGTTGACGAAAGGAAATGGCCGATAGGGAGCTTTCAAATGATGACCAAAGCTAAAACTGATGCAGAACCTCCGAGCAAAGCTATGATGATGAGTGTTAGAATGTGAGGAAGGCGAGTGTTCTGGGGAGGTAGCTGAACAAGAACTGTTCTGATCACCAACGTTAGGTGGTAAAGAACAATGATCAAAACCAGAAACATCATCATAAGTTTAACGTGCTCGTTTTTGAGCAGAGGGTTCGCTTCTGTGCCTATGGCGTTCTTGGCCGCAAGTAAGGCAATCAACGCCGTTGAGAATTTGTCCATGATCTCTCGTAGTTCTTTGAAGAGTTTGGCCACTTGCTCCCTGAGCATATTCATTCAGAAAATCCTTAGAAATTTCAAGTAGAAAGATGGTAACGATCTAAATTTTGTTAAATGAAACTAAAAACAGAGCAACTATGTTCAATGGCAACATCTGCATCTTGCCCATCCGTAGCATGAATATGTGCTAAGAAAACACAAGATATTCCTGTTTTCTTCAAGAGGAGAAAAAAATCAATCATCTCAGGGAAATGTTGAACGTGATTTCTTACTTATGAGGCAGAGAAGCCCAGATTTCAGTCACAATCGCCAAAATGGTTAACGGGAACATAAAACAGAGAGGCATGAGTGAGAGAAGAAGCATGTAAAAAGCAGAGGAGGAGGATGAAGAGTGAAAGATGGTATAGAAAACACAAATCTCAGTTGCAGTCTCCACAAGATCAACAAGAATAGAAAACAGAGACTGATGGAGTGAGAGAGGAAACATGAAAGAGCTCGATGAAATGTATATCAGGTTCTTGCATAGTTTTGTAAATCTGACACTGCGTACCTCATTGAAGCAGAACTAGCAGAAACAAAGGGAATGGCTGGTTCTGGTTTTTGTGTCTGGCAGAATAGAATGAAGACGCTGAAGACTGCCCATATTATAGAAAGAGGGTTGGGTTGGGGGGCGGGGGGGAGTGAAAGGAAGTCCAAGGCGGACGGATTTCTCTGCATTTTCTGAGTGGGGCCTGATTCCGAGTTTTTTTTCTTTTTTTGGGGGGGGGGGGGGGGGGGGGGGGAGTATTAAACGTTTTTAAACGCCTCGGGTTTGAAGTTTAATACGTCTCCAGGTGAAACGCTTGCTCCACTCGTCTTTTTTCTTCTTAGGAGGGACGAACCAATGGTATGTTTTGATCTTTGACCATTTAGATTCTCATTCCCACCTGCACGGAGACGTAACACACAAATCAATCCGCAAGCAGATTAAAAATTAAAAAAAAAAATCATTTGATGAAATTGGAAAAACTGCCCCAATGGCTTGATAAATTTTTATGGCCATATATATATATTTGATACTCTCCAAATTTTGTACGCATAGAGCACGACTATTCTAATTTAGCTCCTCTTCATTGATAAAATTGCCAATGGGAGACTTTCCCCAATTTTTTTCAATTATTTTATCTAATTCAATTCGCAATTTTTTTAATTACTACTTATTCTATGATCCTTAATATGAGAGCCAATTAAAAATTAAATTTGATTCTAAATATAAGATTTTAAAGTCACTTCATTTTTTAAATTTATAATTTTTTTTAAATATTATTATTGATTGTAAGGGTATTCCACCAAGAATAATTAAAGCTGGTATTTTAAAAAAATTAACACAATTTATTATAAATCATCAATTCAACTAATATTTTTAATATTCTTAAATTAGTAACATAACTCTTATATAAACTGTATGGGGCAGTAGCCCTCAATTGAGCTTTCTCCTGAACTAAAATGAGAGATATATAACCATCAAGTCTTGATTTAATGTTGTCGATCGACAATTTTTTTTTTAGTTCTTTTAAAAAAAATAATTTATAACTCGCTTCTTTTTAGCATAATTTGATGTTTAAATATTCTTCATTTTGAGGAAGATTCGCTTGAAACAACCTAAGTATTAAGCTCCTCTCACTTCCCCCGGGAGACCGAGGAATCAATGTATTGGTTTGATTGATGTGGTACGTGTCATTCTCTGCTGTGTCACCGAATGAAGCCACCTCCGTGGCAGCGTTCGCCCACCTCTTCTGCCACGTGGCATCATTATAAGGAAGAGCGTGTCAACATCCACCTTCGCCTCCTCCATCGTCTCTCCACCATAAAAAACGCACACTTCCTCAATCAACGCGTCACAAATCAGGGAATTCACATCAAATAACTCTTTGCATCAGTCATCTCTCGTACGTGTTACTCAGAAGAAGAAGAAGAAGAAATGTCGTCGTCGCAACAACATCGAGCTGAGCTTGACCAGAGGGCCAGGCAAGGAGAGACCGTCGTCCCCGGCGGCACCGGCGGCAAGAGCCTCGAGGCTCAGGAACACTTAGCTGAAGGCACATATATACATGCATAATAATATCCTTCTCCTACATATATTTCTTTTAACAGTAGTTTTGTTTAGTGTATATAACTGAGCAGATTTGGATGTTTAATCATGAAGGGAGGCAGCGAGGAGGGCAGACGAGGAAGGAGCAGCTGGGGACAGAAGGGTTTCAGGAGATGGGACGCAAAGGAGGACTGAGCACCATGGACAGGTCTGGAGGAGAGCGAGCTGAAGAAGAAGGCATCTCCATTGACGAGTCCAAGTTCACAACCAGAAACCATAACCAGTAGTAGACAGAAACTTACCATGCACGCATATTTCATATACGTGCGTAGTCGGTAATGTTCCTGCTGCCGTTTTTATATGGTACTAATAGTTAGTTACTGTTGGAAATTGTAGGACTAGTAAGTTTGTGGCTGTTGTTGTTGTACTACCATAGGACGTCGACCTTTGCTGTAATGTTTTAGGGTTAATTTTAGGTTTCCCTTTGTAAGCAGACCATACGTGTGTGTTGAATACTTCAACTTGCTCCTTCAGACAGGCATAGTGCGTGTCCTTATTTTCATGTAATGTTTATGTAAGCTAACTTTCGAATAATCCTATTTTGTTTGCTTTGGTTGGTACTATATAATCCCCTCTGGCTATATTCTCTCTGTATCTCTCTTCTCTTATTATGCGACCTTTTTTTTTTTAATATTCAAAAATTATGGGTTACGTTGTACTTGTTTTGGGAACAATCTGAGCTCCTCCTACTTTACTGAATGACCTTTTTCCAGTTTGCTGATGATATAACATTTACCGTATTTGTATCCTTAATAATCAGTATATGCAAGACTGTGAAAAGACGAACACAACTAGCATGAAGGTTTCTTTCTTCCTTTCTTTCTTTTTTGAATGTAAGAGAAATAACATTAATGAACCGAAATTGATAACAATACTAGTTCGTTTTTAAATATGCCCAGGTATTTCTAGCTAAATACAATTTCAATATATATCATTAAATAAGAATAATTTAAGAAAGTAAATACATATTTATTATCATACCATATTTGTATCCTTAATCAGTATATACAAGACTGTGAAAAGACGAACACAACTAGCTTGAATGTTTCTTTCTTTCTTTTTGGAATGTAAGAGAAATAACATCAATGAACCAAAATTGATAATAATGCTAGTTAGTTTTTAAATACACCTAATTCATTTTGTCTCATAATTTTATAATATATTCTTAAAAATATTTCTATTAATATTCTTAAAAATATTTCTATTAATATGAGGTATTTTTATCTAAATATAATTTCAACAGTAAGAATAATTTGAAAAAATTGATAATAATGCTAGTTAGTTTTTAAATACACCTAATTCATTTGTCTCATAATTTTTAATATATTCTTAAAAATATTTCTATTAATATTCTTAAAAATATTTCTATTAATATGAGGTATTTTTATCTAAATATAATTTCAACAGTAAGAATAATTTGAAAAAATGAACACGTATTTATTATAAATAACTAATTTAATTAATTTTTTAATTTTTTAAAATTGTTATTTAACTCTCTCCAACGTAACTTTCGATGGACCAGCCAATAAATGTAGAAATTGGAATTGGGTTTAAAAGATTTATTAAAGCGTTTGGATCCGATCTCATTGAGCTATTGGCCGATTTTCTCTCCTGCAAATTAATGAATTAAAGGCCAGTGCAACTTTTTTGTATTTCTTGAATTAGTAGACCAACATATATAAGCTACTGCTTCCTGGCTCTCCTCCTTTCTATGGTACTACTGCCTCGGGTCTCAAATATAATACATTTACTGGAGCTTTTTGGCGGTCTAAATGTAAATCATTCTTGGGATCATCAAAAGAATTTCACCCAACCAACAAGTGTTGGTCGCAGTGGTTAGCGGCTGACGAGTGACGACTCTAAGGTGAGAACCTGTGTTCTCACCTTGAGAGCGCACTTGTCGGTAGAAGAGGATACTCATCTTGGCACAAAGTGCTATAGGATGCGCTCCAACTAAACCTCGACTCCGGATTAGTCGGTTGCCCGGGTTTACCTGACCCAGTGGAAGGTCAGGGTTCAAAAAAAGCGCCAGATACCGGGGGAAATCGCGGGGGGGGCCAAAGGCCCTGTTGCCTTAAATTACCAAAAAAAAAAAGAATTTCACCCAAAAAAAATACACTCCTCATTATGTTTAGGACTTAACGACAGTTAATACAAACTTTAGTCTTTTAAGTTTACTCTTATCTTGGTTTTGATCCCTTAAATTTTAAACTATAAGTTTTGGTCATTCTCAAGTTTTCTCTTTAGTTCCTATAATCTAATAAAGACTTAGACCATTTTACCTCTTAAAGGACCAAAATCTATGGTCTGAAACTTAAAAGATTAAAACCAAAATAAAGACAAACTTGAGGGACCAAATATTATATTAACCCATTTAATAATTAAGATTAAGTATAGAAAGTCATATCTTGTCACAGATTTAATAAGCTTAACAAATTTTATTGGGGTGTGCGTGTGTGTAGACGTAGATAGTTATTGGTACTGGGATTATATCGGTGGTACTACCTCCGGTCCTTATTATAAGACCCCGTTTGATTTTTTGTTTGGTCCTAATTATAAGACCCCAATCCATTTTGTCTCTCATATTTATGCATTTTTTTCCAAGATAATCCTTCTAATAATAATAGTTCTAGCTAATATACTTAATTAGCAAGGATATTTTAGGAATGACAACACTTATTTATTACAAATAACTAACTTAACTTACTTCCTTAATCTCCTCAAATAAGTCAACTGGGTCTTATAATTAGGACCGGAGGTAGTAATAGTTAATAAACCATGTGGTCGAATCTTGTAGCTGATCGTCGTTTCTCTTAATTTAGGTTATTTGTCGTGATGTGCCGTTGAAGAATCCCCCTCCATGCCCAGTTCTCTCTGCTTCCGGAGGCGAGGTTTCATGCTCGGAGGGAGAATATAAGATAAAAGATTATAAAAGAGATGCACATTGTTATGGCCACTCTTTATAATCAAGGGTTAACAGAAATAATTACAAGACAGATCAGGGGTTATGATACTCATATATATATATTTGTAACCAGTCTTACAATTATAATACTAAGAGATGAAGAAGCATTACGGATGAGATAAGAAGCTACAAAAGCTATAGGAAGGGAATAAGAACAGCAGAAACCCCATAGTCACAGTGACAATTGCCGGAGGGAAGAAAGGACAGAGAGGAGAAACTTACCATAAACACCCTATTCCACTCCTAATAAACCCAATTACTGTATCTTGTGGTCCATTAGTCTCAGGTTCATAGTCAGCCCATTTTATGTGGAGCCCATTCATTACGCATATTTTGTTCTGCTTTTCGGGCTGTGGAGTGAGATTACAATGTGTGTGTCTCTGTGACTATGGGAAGGTGGATGAAAGCTTCGGCCCACCCCATGCTTTTGAAATTTTGAACGCAGTCAAGCTTTTTATTATTATTATTTCAGTTTAAAATAATAATAATAATATTATTATTATTATTATATTATTATTA